CAAGGTATATGCCCCTGACCAGAATCGAACCCGGGACCCTTGAGTCCGCAGGCCTACGATCTATCCACTGAGCCAAACTGGTTAGGGCTCATGTGGCCATATTCTCAACCCCCAAGTCCCCGTGGAGGCTCCAGGGAGCGCCCTCACTGCTATTTGAGCCCCACTGTGTGTCATAGATCCGGGTGGAAGTCCTTGGCTTGGGGGCGTCTCTGTTCGCTTTGGCTACAGTAATAATACATAGCAAGCAACATCAGAACTTCAATGGCAAACAGCAGTGAGCTTTGATTTCGCTCCCATGTCTGGTGTCTGCAGCCGGGGATTGGCTGATGTGGGCTGGGCTCACTGGAGGTGGCTCTGCCCCCACAGTCTCTCCCCCTCCCCCTGGGATCAGCAAGCTGCCCCTAACAAGCTTCTCCCAGTGATGGCAGAGGCGCCAGGAGGGCAGGTAGAAATCGGTAAGATTAAGCATACCATCACTTCATCCCATTCTATTGGCCAGTGTAAGCCACATGGTCAACCCAAAGGCAAGTGCAGGGAATTAAGCTCCACCTACAGACGTGAGGGAGCTGCCAAGTCACGTGGGAAGAGATGAACTGGGGGGCCGTTCTTCCCTCCCTCTTGCCTGGTGCCTGGCAGCCTCTGGTGACATCCAGGAAGCAGCAGGACAATGTCAAGTTCCCTGCAGAAGACAGCAGAGCCCTGGACCTTCCACCTCCCTCTCATCAGGATGAAGGGGTGTCGCTCTGACGAAACCCCACTCAGTGGGTTGTGGGAAAACATTAGCTGTGGTTTTTCTTCACATCATTGTCTCTGATAATGTTAATGAAAATATAACGCACAGGAGTCTGGGTCTTGAGGGATCACAAGGTACTTATTATCTTCCTGATCGGCACGTCAACCCCACGGAGTGTGCGGAGGAGGGAGGGCGCCTAGGAGAATGTATAATTAATAACAACAGTAACAATAATAATACTTTCTTCAGCTCTCGCTGTGTTCCAGGCACTGATTTACACAACGGACTCAGTTAATAGAAGAGGAATGGCGCGTCACCGGGGGCTCTGGGATGGGAATCTGCTTTGGAATCTCAGGACTTCCGCCTCCCAGCTGGGCAGCCTTGTACAGCTTACTTAACCTCTCGGTGTGCGTTTCCTGAAGCTGCTGGAACAATGGCCACACACTTTGAAACAACAGAAATGTACTCTCTCCCAGTGCTGGAGGCTAGAAGGCCTCTTTTTATTCAGACACCAGTCATACTGGAGTAAGGGCCCTTCCTACTCACGAAGCAACTCCAGTATTAACCCACACGACTTAGCTAATTACATCTATAATGACCCAACTTTCAAATAACCAAACACAGGCCCAGTCTGAGGTTCCGGGGAGGACAGGAGTTGGGAGGGGGGTTCCATCCGAGCCAGCACACTCTGCAAGGCTCGCTTTTCCCTTCGCATCTATGAACTGGTGCTCCTCGTAGCTGCGGTGGCTGGGCTTGCTGTGAGGATGGGATAAGACACATGGCTGGAACGCTGTCAGCACGGAGCCTGGCAGTGAGAGCGCTCACCAGATACAGCGGGTCCCAGGATAGTGTCACTTCCTTCAGCATCCTTTCAGGATAATGTTGATGAGGAAAAAGAATGGATTCCTGCTGGTGGCCACTGTCTGTGTGCTTTGCACGTTCTCCCCACGTCTGCCTGCGTTTTCCCCTGCTTCTCTGGTTTCCTCCTGTGTGCCCGCTTGCCCGAGTGTGTGTGTGTGTGTGTGTGTGTGTGTGTGTGTGTGTGTGTTCGCATGCACCCTGCCGTGGGAGGGCGTCCTCTCCAGGCTAGGTTTTGCCTTGCGCCCTGAGCCACCAGGATGGGCTCCGGCCACTACCCCCTCCCCCAGCCCACCCCCTGGCCTGAACTAAAGTAAGCAGGTTGGTAAATCATTATCTTGCTTGTTTTTATTCACCTTTCTAAAACGTGTGGATAGCTCACATTTATTCCAATGTCTGATGTTAGAAGTGCTTGGGGTCTTTATTTAGAAGTTGGGTGATGCTTTGTGACCAGAAATATGTCGTAGGAACTTAACTCTGACTTACATCGATTAGCCTGTGGTAAAATTGGTTTGGTTGTGTGTCGTTTGCTCAAAGCCACCGTTTCCAAGAACCCGGGGACAGCACGGAGTGAGCGCTTACTGTGGAAACTCACCGTCACCATCACTGTCCCCACGTTAGAGTTGAGGAAACGAGGTCCAGAGAGACCAAAGTGCTTGCCATCCCACAAACGGCAGAGCCAGGTTCGCTAATTCCTGAGCCAGCGTGCCTTGCATACAGTAGGTGCTCAATAAATGCTCCAGGACAACAACCTGAAATCCAGTGGTCACACACCCAGCCATGGAGTCCGGGGCCCCTGGGCTGGAAGGAGAAGGAACCAGGAGGGTTCCTCTGGCTGGGTGGGATTGGCCCACCTCCACCCTCTCAGCTGTCTGAAACCAGCTCCTAATCCCACTGCTGGTGCTGGCTGGGGAGGGCTGACACATCTGGGTAATGAGGATTACTATTAATATTGCAATTTGGATCCCATAAATTAGTCCACCGCTGCTGGCGGCTGCGTAGTGCCTGCTGCATGGCCCCAGGGCGTTTGCTGGTCTAGAAGGCTTTGCCGAGACAGAGAAAGCCAAGTTTTGACGCTTGGTGAACACTCTTCTTAACCAATTGCACCTCATCTTCCCTCCACAAGGGGTTCCCAGGCGCCGCTGATTTCTCCCAGGATCGGGCTGGGTGGGCGTGCCCGGGAGGTGGCTGTGCTGACAAAGCAACAGGTAGTTCCACAAAGGGTTCAAGTTAGAGGTTTACCCACCTACCTTAGCAGGGGGAAGGGAGGGGCAGGAAGGATGTCTAAGGGAAGAACAAATAGGTGTTTACAGAAAAGACACAGGGTTTTTAGAACAAATGGAAGAGGAGGAAGCTTGTGATGTTGTGGAGACAGGTGTGAGCAGTCTTCTCTGGAGCCATAACCCCCAGAAGGGAATTCCAGTCTGTTCACTGTGGGTCTCTCTCCTGGAGGTGGGCACGCCCACCGAGGGAATTCACGGCGCCCCATTTCCCGAAGTTGCTGCTTTTAGTCAGTCAGATAAGAGAGGCTCCAAGAAGGCATCTTTCTGCATCTGTTGAATCTCAAATGTTTTCAGCTTAAAATAACCTTCATACCAACTCTAGGGTTCTGAGTGGGTCCCCAGCTGAGTGGTTCTGAACTGAGACCTGAAAGTTAAGAGGAGGGAAGCCAGGCAGAGATGTCCCCAAGCAGAGGGCATGGGGTCCCCGGGGACTGGCTGAGTCATTGACCGACTGGATGGGAAGTTGCAGAATGTGAACTTTAGGGTGCGTGCCAGTCCTAAAACCCTCTGGATTTTCTTTTTTGTTAATCCTCACCGGAGGACATTTTTTTCATTTGCTTTTCAGAGTGCGTGGAAGGAGGGGGAGTCGGGGAGAGGGAGGGAGAGAGAAGAGGAACATTGATGTGAGACACATTAACTAGTTGCCTCTCGCTCACACCCTGACCCAGGGGAGGGAGCGAACCAAAACCCAGGTACATGCCCTTGACCAGGAATCGAACCTATGACCCTTCTGTGTGCGGGCTGATGCTCTAACCACTGAGGACGCCGGCCGGAACTCTGGATTTTCTTGACAAATAGGGCAATGAGGATAAAGGTTGGGAACCAGATATCTGAGTTAGACATAACTGCCCATCAGCGGCATGGTCTCAAGCAGATCACTTCATGTCCCCGGGCCCTAATTCCTCGTCTGCAAAGTGAGGGTAATACAGTCAACTCAAAGCACTGGTGTTGGTCATCTGAGCCCACGCCCGCGAAGGCAGTTAGGAGGCACTTGGCCGTGTAAGTGCAATCAAAGTTTTTAGCTTTCGCTATCTTTGAGAATCACGTGCCCAAGGGGACGGGTGGGGTGCAAAAACGAGGAGTGGGGAGTGGTGACTAGGGGCCCAGGGGCAATGGAGTGGTCTGGTTCCAGCACCAAGAGGGGCTTGGGCAGCGCCAGCATCTCTCCTGCATGGGTGGGCCCGCCAGGTTCAGCCTGGGCAGGCGGACAAAAGGTGGCCACAGAGATGCCAGCACGTAGATTCCAGAAGCAATGCTTGAGGCTTTGAACCGGGTAGAGGCTAAACACCAGGTTTCCTGGGCAAAAGGGCTCAAGGGCCACGGTGAGAACGAGGGTGGGTAACCCCGGAGGAGGGTGAGCAAGGAGTGTCACAGCCATTTGGGAGAGAGGAGCAAGGAGGGACCAGCTCCACGGGAACTTCTGATAGGGCCACTGCGCAGTATTTGGCTGTGGCTCCCTCTGCTGGTCAGTGTGTGGACTGCATGCGCCCATCAGCCGCCAGGAGAACTGGCCACCATTCATTCATTCATTCATTCATTCATTCATTCATTCATTCATTCCTCCTTTATCACCAAGCATAGGAGACACACGGGCAGACAAAGGGGTGCTTACCATCTTTCCGATGTCCTGGTGGGTATGACAAGTGACGAACTTAACCAACGAGGTGCAAGATGAGGGCTTTATTGGCGTCATCGCAAGACACAAGTCATCAGAAAGGAAAAAAAGATTTAGGTAATCAATGAGACAAAGAAATATTCTCAGGTGAGCGGGTTAATTCCAGAGGCCAAGTAATAACTTAAATGTTGATGCACAAGCATACGTCAACCCCGCAGTTTCGAATGCCAGTCCAGTTCTTGGAGCAATAAGGAAAAGTTCTTCCCGGTTACGGTTTTTGCACGTTTAAAATAACTTGTATTCTCACAATTATCTTAGATCTCTAACAGTCGAGGTTATTCTCTTCAGTTATTGAGACAGCCTAAAAACTGCGATTTAGACTTTTTCAAGTAAAATATAAGGTTCACATGTTGTAAGATACCGTTGCCCCAACTCTCCCGAGCGAAGCCTCGGCGCGCGATTTTATCCCGCGAGGTTTGGCTCCTACGGGCCCCCGTAGCGTCCCCGGGCTGCTTCCGTTTCTGACGCCTGCCGTGCGAGAGCACTTCCGGCGACGGCGGCGGCTTCTGCAGCCGAGGCAAGATGGTGAGTGACTAAGGCTTTCGGCTGGTGGTCGCGGTGTGACGGGGTCCGAGCGGCCCACCCGCTGCCGTGCCCGCCGGCCCGATCTCCTGGGGGGGGACAGAGGTTCCGGGCGACGGTGCTCGGGTGCGCCGCGCGCCGTGCCGACCTGCGGGCCTGGCTCGGGGAGCTGGGGCCGGCTCGGCGCGAAGGGTCCCCCGGGAGAACCGGTAGGACTGCGGGGCGGTCCGGTCGCCCGGCTGTGGGGCTCGGCTGACCGTCCGGGGAGCCTCCTTACGCACCTGGGATGAGTGAGTGTGAGCCGCTCCGGTGGCGGGATGTTCGCCCGGCGGGAGGGAGGCCTCAGTCCCGCCGACGGGGCAGAGCGGGGTCGTGGAAGGCCGCTCGGAGCGGGGCACTGGCCGGCGACCTGGAAGGCGGACGGTGTCGGGACGGGTGGAAGGCGGAGGGAAAGGCCCCGGGGCGCGATCTCAGTAAAACACACCGTTCGCTTAGCACTTGTTTACTGAGCACCTGCGCTTTGGGGGGCGCGGGGCGGGCCCTCTTCAGGCCCCTGGGGTGTAGGGGTTGAGCGTGACTGACCGTCTCCGCCTTCGCGGCGCTTACGTTCTAGGGGAGGCAGCGAACACAGAGAAAGAAAGAGGTCCGGTGATGCCGGAGAGCGGGGTGCAGAGGGTTCCCGGGCGGCCTGGTCAGTTCGTAGGGCCGCCTGGGGGCGGGGGGAGGCCCCCCGGGAGGTGAGGTTTGAGCGTGGAGCTCAGTCCCGCGGGCGGGGAGCTGTGCCCACGGGGAAACGCGGTCCCGGAGCAAAGGGCCTGCGGCGGACCGTGCAGCCCGCGTCGCCCACAGCAGGCAGGCGGCCCCGAGCCTTGGGGGGCATCTGGGACTTGGGGTGCTGTTGAAGCCTGTGCCAGGCGCTTGCCAGCATTTCCTCATATTCCTCACGAGCGAGGCAGTTCTCGTCCTCCCGTTCCCGAGGAGGAGACACCGGAAGTGGCTGTGCTGGAGGCAGACCCTGCCAGGCTTTTCTTGGGCCCCTTCTGCGATGGGCTCGTTGTGCATGTGGGGGAGACACACAGACTGGCCTCCAGCGGACCTGAGTGTGTTCCTGCTTGGTAACAACGTGCGTTACTTCTCTGGGCCTCGGTGGTTTGGTTTTGTGTGTGAATTCGAGGTAATGATGGTGTCTGTAAGAATGAGGTGAGGCCCTGAGGCCGTTAGCGCCGGCGGGGCGTGCGGTGTGTCTGTTACCGGAGACGGAGACACAGAGAGGTGCGGGGTGTGTTCTGGAGGGTCCTCCGGGGGCGGGACCGGCGGGATCGCGAGGATGTCGGTGAAGCTGGGAAGTTTGAACAGCAGAGGAACCTGCAGCCGGTTTGTGGAGGGCCCGGCCGGCATGCTGAGCCGAAGGGTTGGGTGTCACACCGCAGGCGCTGGGGAGCAGCTCAGGCCTTTGAGGAGAATTAAAGGGTTGGCTGATGGTTTTCGAAGGTGGAAGCTGGATGGGGAGGGGGGAATCTCAGGGGAGAGGCTGAGTCCAAATGAGACACAACGGCCTGGACAGAAGCAGAGATTAGGGGTGGGCAGGAGAGAGTGAGCTGCAGCAGGTGGAGTTCTGTGTCCAGATCCGTGACCAGACCAGCAATGAAATGCTGACCCTGGCCTTTCTGACTCACTGATACTGTACATACTGGTGGGTAGTTACTGCGTCACGTGATACTGAGTGGGCCATTATAGATCCTTATGCTACTTCATTTTCAGCAACAGCGAGGAGCTAGAATCCTCCGGGCTTTCCCGTTAAGGACCCCAAGGCTCGGGTAGGTGCCCTGACTTACCTGAGGTCACTGGCCTGTTAGTGATGGAGTCGGAATTCAAGCCTGGATGCATCTAATGCCATGTTCTTAGGCTTGTTTAGTTCCTCCTCTAGAAAGTGGGAATAGTGAGCCCCGCCTTGGAGGATTGTGTGGAATTAACGAGATAGTGAAGGAAAATGTCTGTACAGACGGGCACATAGTAAGCACCCCACACACGGGCTGCCCAGCCACCCGCAGATTTCCTTATTATAAGTGACTGTAAAGACCTGTCGCTTGGGCAGCCTGTTGCACTCTAGCTGTTTCCCAGCATTTCTCAGAGCGCGTGGTTACCGTCTTCGGAATAAAGCACGGAGTTTTAAAAAGGCTGCACATGGGATATATATTTGGCCCTAACGCCTTTGGGTAACTGTGATATGGTAGGTTGTTTGATGGTAAAGCTGGCTGCGTATTTAGAGGTTCCGAAGGAGAAGTGATTTGAGGGGACCAAGAGAGGGCCCCCCAGTCAGGTTCACTATTACTTGTTTAAAATGCAGTCTTCTGAGACATTGCTCTGTGTTATGCATTGTCCTGTAGCTGAAGCTTATTATTAGAACCCTTAAGTTCTTGGTGCCTTAAGGTGCTTCAGCCTTTCAGGTTTGGGGGAAAAGACGGCACGAGTGCCCAGGCTGTAGGGATGGTAGGCGTGTGAGCTGCTGTTGAAAGGAAGTCTCCTGGGTGAGGAGTAAATTATTAATAAATCATTGTTGAAAGGGAAAATGATTTAGTTTTCATGGCCTAATTTCACAAAATATACTCTTGGTGGTAGTTTTATATTAAATACTGTACCAAACTCTATACTTTCCCCTCAAGAAGGGTGTGTGTCTGGAATGTTGGCCTCATTGTGGCACATTAGTGATGTCTGTCTGTTGATGGGGTTGTCCTTGAGTTACGCAGTGACAAGGTGTACCGTCGTGCTGCCGACTGCTTTGCAGAAAAGTAAGTTGTGCCATGCCCGATGTGCTCATTGACTGCAACTGCACCTCGAGTTCAGAGACGTTAAAATGGGGGAAGTGCTGCCAGTGTCTTAGAGCTTCAGGAAAAGAAGGGTGTTCTTTTGAAGTGATTGTATTCTGAATGTGTACCTCTTCCCTCCTCACCCCCAGGGTCAGAGTCAGAGTGGTGGTCATGGCCCTGGAGGTGGCAAGAAGGATGACAAGGTTAGTATGAAGCCAGATATGTTCGCGTTGTGAACAGCTTGTGGGAAAAGTCATGGATCTCAGTGCATAACTTGGGGATTCATGGATCTTAAAATGCAAGATAAATAATCTTGTAGCTATTTAACCCAGCCTGGCCCACAGATACAGTGCCCTTTACATGTTTTCGAAAAGGTTATTGACCTGTCACATATGTGCTTATGAATTAATGACTTTTAAATGTGTAAAAGTAATTTTCACATTGGAGGAGTGTTAAAATAAATTGCTTCTAATTTTAGTGTTTAATTTCCTGAGATGTGAAGAATTGTCTCAAGTTATATCAACTCAAACTTTTGGAATATAACTGAATTCTAACCTCTGTATTCCTTATTGAATAATCTATCATTGTATGTTATAAAAAGAAAGCAATTACATTCACATATTAAATTGCAGAAAGATAAAACCTAGTGTGTTTTTTTAAAGAACAGTTTGTAATAGTATCCTAAAAGATCAGGAAAATCATGTCACCTGGAAATAGACAATGATCCTACAGAAATCAGTTTGTGTTTTCATATGATTTGTGTGATTCTCTTCCCCCTGCTGTTCTGAAAACTCTAGGACAAGAAGAAGAAATATGAACCTCCCGTGCCAACCAGAGTGGGGAAAAAGAAGAAGAAAACCAAGGGGCCAGATGCTGCCAGCAAACTGCCACTGGGTAATGACATGGCTCTTCCTTGCTGTCTTTCCGCTTCCTAGGGAAATGGACTGTGTGTGTAGCTTAGACGGAGATGGGCGCGGTTGGAGCTCCAGCCCCGGGACTGTGTTCTGTCTGACTCCTGTGTGTGGAATGCCTCTAGGTTGGAATGCAAGCTGTACTTTGGGTTTAACAGTTACATGACTATCTCACTTTAGGAATCCTGAACCAGTTCCTCTAATCTACTAAAAGTAGTTTTAGAGTAGAAAAGTCAGGCTGAGCTTGAGTAACTTAGAAACACATTTACTGTATGAAGCAAAGGAATGCCACTGTGTTAGAATTCACATCCTATGGGGCCTGAACCTAAAAGTTTTCAATGGCTTCCTGTACAACACAGAATAAAACTCAGACCAGGTGGCCTGGCCCATGTGTCCATCCTTAGCCCCATCACTCCCTTTGCTGGTGATTCTCGTAGCCCTGTGCTCTTTGACTCTTCTGCACGCCAGGGCCTTGCCCTCTGCTTCAAAATGTGCGTCCCCAGTCCTTCCTATGGCTGCCTGCTTCTCACCCCAGTAGGCCTGAGCTCAAAAACCTCCCCTGCCCCTATCTAAATCAGTCCCTTCCTGCTTAGATGAAATAATTTTTAAAATATTGCCTGGTTAAAAAATGAGTCAGACAGTAAAAAATGTGCCATCAGTCTACTGTGATGAATCAATATGGCATTGGTAAAGAATAGACCATCAGAGCACCTGAATCTTTCCCATTCTTTGCTGCTTCGTGCTAGAGTGGGGACAGATGGTGCCACAGTAAAGCAGAGGGAATCCAGACGGGTTGTTTTTCATTTGTCTTGCGGCCTGTCTCTACAGCTCTGCCACACTTTCTCCCTGAGCGAAGGTATTGTGAGGATTTTAGAGCTGGGGTGAGACTTTCCATCCTGGTCTGAGAAAGAAGGAAAGATGAGTGGAAGTTTGTTTTTCCATGTTTTGCAATTTGCCTCATTTGCTTGATTTTTCTTTGATAATCAAATCAACTGAGTTAGCAGGGTAACCCTATTTTAAAGTCAAGGAATTTGCTCTAGTCAGTTTGTCGCAGTGGATAGAGCATCGGCCTGGGGACTGAAAGGTCCCGGGTTCGATTCCAGCCAAGGGCACATGCCCGGGCTGCGGGCTTGGTCCCCAGTAGGGGCTGTGCAGAAGGCAGCCAATCAATGACTCTCTCATCATTCATGTTTCTATCTCTTCCTCCCTCTCCCTTCCTCTCTTAAATCAATAAAGAAATATATTTTAAAAAAAACAAAAAAGAATAGATCATCAGGTCACCAGAAGAGCATAGGAAGTCAAGTTACATGGATAATTAATATATGGCGAAGGTGACATTTTAGTTCTGTGGAAAGATGCTGGGTTATTTATTTGCTATTGAAAGAAAATAGACCCCTTGCTTTTTGCCAGATGGATTATAGATATACACATGAAAATAAGTAAATAAATGATAACTCCAGGAATAATTCATTAACCTTAGGGGAGGAGAGACCTTTTGAAGAAGTCGGGAAACCCAACACCACAAAAGAAAAGGTTTATCTATATAAATATTAAGAAGCGAAGCCAAGAGAAACAGTGCAAAAGAGTGTGGGGGAAAAAAATGTTTAGTGCATGTTAATATCACTAGTATTTCACAATCCTACAAAGGGAGGTGAATTACATTAGTGTGCAACAGGGTGGACGGACTGCACATTATGTGTACCCATTAGCACTGTGGGGAATAATAAGCCAAAGCAAACTTACCTTCTGCATCTATACAGTCCTCATCCCATGTTTACAGGCTTGCCTATCACTGCAAAATCCCTGTCCCTTTGCATTTAGGCACCGCTTAATTAGGGTCACCAAACTTTTAACTTTCAGAGTCTGTCCAACTAAAGTGAACTTATTTTAAGTCTTTTTTTAATCTCTTTCCAGAATAAACTGAGGGGGGAAGGCTGGGTGGAGGTGGGCAAAGGGGGGGAATGAGGACATCTGTAATAGTGTCAACAATTTAAAAAAAGAGTAAACAATTGCTAACTTCAAGCTTCAAGTATAATAAAACTTTATTTTTTTAATTACAGTGACACCTCACACTCAGTGCCGGTTAAAATTATTGAAGTTAGAAAGAATTAAAGACTATCTTCTCATGGAGGAAGAATTCATTAGAAATCAGGAACAAATGAAGCCTTTAGAAGAAAAGCAAGAGGTAAATTGAGAAATTTCTGTAGCTTTCATTTTTACAAATTAAATTCTATTTAAACCCTAAAACTGTCCGTGGATAAATGAAATTCAAGTAGTTGAATCTTTCAGGCTTTTATGATGATTCATTATTAGCTGCCTTTTAAAAGCACCAACTGTGCCCTGGCCTGTGTGGTTCAGTGGTTAGACTGTTGGCTCGCAGTTAAGGGCCTGTACCTTAACTGTTGCAGGCTCAAGCTCCATTCCTGGCCCTGGTCAGGGCACATGCAGGAGGCAACCAGTCGATGTGTCTCTCTCATGTTCATGCTTCTCCACACCCCCAAATCAATGGGAAAAATATCCTCCAGTGAGGAGTAACAAAAAGTAATCTATGTATATAAAAGCCTAAGCAACCGTCCGACTGTTCTCATGGTAGGTATGATGCCCAATGACCACCAGGGGGCAGACGCTCCGACCCGTAGAGGAGGGAGCCCAATTCCTCGTGGAATTGGTTGTGGGTTAGGTTGCTGCTGGGGCACTGTCAGCCTCGAATCTACTTCACCTGCACCCCAGACCCAGAGAGGAGGGAGGAGGGTCTTGGCCTGGCCTACAGGGATCGGGCCAAAACCAGTTCTTCAACATCCCGAGGGGTCCTGGATTGCGAGAGGGCGCAGGCCAGACCGATGGGCACGCACCGGGCCCCTAGTAATAAATAAATGTGCCAACTGCTTTGTAAATCTAGTGAACTCTGAATTCATCTGCTTTTTTAAGCCTAATCTTTTCCTTCTTGACATACTCTTCCGTAGGAGGAAAGATCAAAGGTGGATGACCTGAGGGGCACCCCGATGTCAGTGGGGACCTTGGAAGAGATCATTGATGACAATCACGCCATCGTGTCTACATCTGTGGGCTCAGAACACTACGTCAGCATTCTTTCCTTTGTGGACAAGGACCTGCTGGAACCAGGCTGCTCCGTCCTGCTCAACCACAAGGTGAGTTGAGTCTCAGAGAAAGCTTTCTCCTTTCTTGTAGACCTGCCCACCCATCCCATGTAAGTACATCTTCCACAGTCAAATTCTGTGACCAGCTTTGCTTGGTTGTAATGAATGTGTGAGCCTCACATCCTGTGTTGAAGCGTAATGTTCCCTGTTAGGTTCATGCTGTGATAGGGGTGCTGATGGATGACACAGACCCCTTGGTCACGGTGATGAAGGTGGAAAAGGCCCCGCAGGAGACCTATGCCGACATTGGGGGGTTGGACAACCAAATCCAGGAAATTAAGGTATGTCTAGGAACCAGCGCTGGGTCTTTAGACTTCTGGTCTCTCGTTTCGGATACTTGGAGTTGCTTTGCATGTTTTGTTTTCTTTATTGATCAGACCAATAACTGACTCAGAGCTTACCAGCTGTGGTGTTTTATATTTGTGAATACCGAGTTAGGTAATAGAAGTAACTAATTCTGTGATAGTTCTTGCTGCAGCTTAATACTTTTTGCATGTAATGTTTAGTGATTCTCTGTGTGAGTATATAATGGTCCCATTGTGTTGACTTCAGCCAGTGATGTGTGGGGTAGGGTGCGTGGCACACACTTACACAGTGGTGGGGTCTGGAACATACTCCCTGCCCTGGGGTTCGGGGAGGGATCATCCGGGATGGCTGTGGGCCAGTCCTTTGCAGGTTCTTTGATCTGTAGAGGAGTCCCTCAGAGCTGTCACAGATCTCACTGGTGACCTTTCCACAGCTGGGAATGGCTAGGGTGGCAACAGCAATCAGAAAGCCTTGCCAGTTCCTGTCTGTGAATTTTTAAGTTTCATTTGCTAAGGAAGTTTTAGATGTTATTCAAGGCTGACTTCTACAAAGAAGGGAAGGGGAAATGGGGTGCCATTAGGAAGAGAGGGGGTGGGTGTCTTCTTCAGTGTGTCCTTGCTACTAGTGACGTCAAGCACGTTGTCTCCAACAAGAGTAATTGAAATTTTAGCTTATTTTTTGTTGCAAGTGAGACATGCTCGTGATGCCAGTTCATGACTATGGTGGTGATTTCAATAAGAAAGCTTTTCACTTTTACGTAGTGTTTGTTTCCTATAGGAATCTGTGGAGCTTCCTCTCACTCATCCTGAGTATTACGAAGAGATGGGTATAAAGCCCCCTAAGGGGGTCATTCTCTATGGGCCACCTGGCACAGGTATGTGTGCTGTGGGTTTGACACCTCGAGGCACTCAGCTCAACTTGAGCAGCAGCGTTAGTGAGTTACACAGTCCTTAGTTTAAAAGTGTTCTAAGCAATATTTTGGAATTTGGGGATAAGCAGCTTCTCTGGAAAAATACCTATTACATAAAAAAGTGTATTTGTATAATAGAGGCACTAAGAAACTGAACTTAGGACTTGAAGTTGTAGACTGCACAGAGTCAGTGTATTAAAAAAAAACAATATTAGGAACAGTTCCCCAAAACTCCTATACTCAAACACAGTAGAAGTATATGCTGTAAAATATAATGCCTTCAAATATTTATAAAAGCAATGTGAGTCTATTGAAACTAGTTTGTAAGAAGAGCTCAATAAAAGAGGGTGCTTCACCTTGGCTGTACATTGGCATCACCTTGGGAGCTTTAAAAACACTAGTTGTCTGGGCCCCTCCCTGGAGATTACGATGTGTCGTCTGGAGTGTGATCACGCACCAGAGCCACAGCGGAGGGTCATGATTTAAAACCTACCCTGTGCTGTTCAGATTAGGTTCATTCTCCTGGTCCACTGGCACTAAATATTCATAGTGGATGAATAAATGCATGAAGGTAAAAAAAAAAAAAAATCCTATATAATAAATGCCTGATATGCTAATTGTCCAACTGTTCGTTTGACCAGTCGCTATGATGCACACTGACCACCGGGGGGGCAGATGCTCCGACCTGTAGGTGAGCTTGCTGCTAGGGTCCCGCCGATCAGGGACTGGCCGAGACTGGCGGTACACACCCTGGAGCCAACCTCCCATGGTCCCTTCCCCGGCCCCCATCGTGCACCGGGCCTCTAGTCTATATGTAATTGACCTGTGTAAATTGTGCAGTCCAGGACTTAGCATTTCATTGCTATGTAAAATTACAAAGGACGAAGGTTATTTGATTGACTTAAAATCATGTACCCAAGAGGGTGGCATGCCTTTTCATCATAGGAATCTGTCCATTTTTAATATCCACTTAAGTAGGTAATGACAGAGTCTGAGGATTTTTTCCCTTTGTCTTTTTAATCTAAAATAGGTAAAACCTTACTGGCTAAAGCAGTAGCAAACCAAACCTCAGCCACGTTCTTGAGAGTGGTTGGCTCTGAACTTATTCAGAAGTACCTAGGTGATGGGCCCAAGCTCGTTCGGGAATTGTTTCGAGTTGCTGAAGAACATGCACCATCGATTGTGTTTATTGATGAAATTGATGCCATTGGGACAAAAAGGTAGACTTTCTTTTACCTGTTTTGTATCCTTTAGAGCAGTTCTCAACCTTCTGGCCCTTTAAATAGTTCCTCATGTTGTGACCCAACCATAAAATTATTTTCATTGCTACTTCATAACTATAACGTTGCTACTGTTGTGAATCGTAATGTAAATATCATATGCAGGATGGTCTTAGGCGACCCCTGTGAAAGGGTCATTCGACTGCCAAAGGGGTCGCGACCGACAGGTTGAGAACTGCTGCTTTGGAGGGAAAAACCTTGTAGCTCTTCTCTGAGTGGTCATTGAGCACTCCCTGTGGCCTCAGTGTTTGCCACAGTTCCTACTCTGGCTTTCCCTGATGCTGTAGGCTCTGCTCTCCCACCTGCTGGGTGGTTTAAACCTGAAGATTGGTCGGTCAGTAACCACACCCTGAGCATCTGCTCTGAGCCAGGCTCCGACTTTGGGGACACAGCCATGAAAACAAGCCTCTGGCCTCAGGGAGCACTCAGGGGTTGGGGGGACACCAAACTGGGAGAGAAAACTTAGGCAATGAAAACTGCTACAAAGAAAATAATGAGCTGTGTAACCTGGCTGTTGGGTTGAGTTTTTTGCTGTAATTTCCCGTTAGCAGATCAGTTGGGTCTTCATTCCTTCTCCTTTTTTCCCAAAGATATGACTCAAACTCCGGTGGTGAGAGAGAAATTCAGCGAACAATGTTGGAACTGTTGAACCAGTTGGATGGATTTGATTCAAGGGGAGACGTGAAAGTCATCATGGCCACAAACCGAATAGAAACTCTGGATCCAGCACTAATCAGACCAGGTCACATTTGCTTTTGCCTCATCATGGAGAATAGCTGTCTGTGTGTATTTGTGCTTCTTACGTGTAGTTTGGGGAGCTTATGAGATTATAAAATGATACATGTAAAGGCAACATTGCACTGAAATTTAGAGTAACCTTGAGGTTGTAGATAAGCATGATATAGTCTGTGCAGTGTGGCTTTTTGAATTCCAATGTTATGTGATCTTTTCTTTCCCGGGTACTCCCTTTTAAGCCTCAAGGACTTTTTTCCTGAAGAAATGAAGAAGTAATTCATATAACAGTTTAGGCTCAGTTTTTGCATTCATTTAGCAGTGAAAGCAGGGGTAGCTAATTTCGTTACCCTCTTCATAATTTTTTTATCCAGACTGATCTGTCCTTTTGCACTAAATGTGCCATTCAGGAACCATTCCTTTCATTTGTTTCTGGAGGTAGCAGAGAAAATAAGTGAATTCAAACATAGAAACTTACAAACTAGAAAGGTGAGTGTTCACCTTTTAAGATTTGGACCCCTTCCAAAGGACACTGAAACTGCACATGAGGAGACAGGCGCGGGCACAGCCGGGGCTGCACAGAGCTGCCACTGAAGCCTCTGTACTTGCAGGCCGCATCGACAGGAAGATCGAGTTCCCCCTGCCCGATGAAAAGACCAAGAAGCGAATCTTTCAGATCCACACAAGCAGAATGACGCTGGCTGATGACGTGACACTGGACGACTTGATCATGGCTAAGGACGACCTCTCTGGTGCTGACATCAAGGTGAGAACTGCGCTGGCTGGACTCTTGTTTGATCACATCCCTTTATGAGTTAGGATGGTTCTTCCCAGGTGACCAGGATTTAGAACAAGGCCTGGCAGCACTGAATATGCTGCATCCTGCTCTTTATGGGAAGATCCGGTTTCTGTTAGATTAGGTAGGGTGGGACGCAGACGTGGCCTTTCATGCCGCTGCCTGTGCTGTATATCCCTGGATCTGTAGGACTACATTAGTGTCTTGGTTGGGAAGTAAAATCTCTGTCCTTAAAACAGAAATTTGATTTTGCACCAACTTTTTTACTTTGAAATATTTTAAACCTTCATAACAGTTGCAACTAGTAAACACCCATATACACCATTACTTCGATTTACCAAATGTTGCCATTTCACCGTTTGCTTTATCTTTCTATGCACACGTTTTTTCTGCTGAACCTTAACCAAATAGGAACTTCAATGCTAGGATTGTTTATATCATTTCATTGTTTATATCTTGTTTTGTAACAGGTGATTATTTAAAAAGTAAATATATTAAAGTGAATATTATGTATTCATTCTACTAAATGTTCTCTTATGCCTATTGGTAAATGAAACGGTCATACACTGTTACCTCTAAATTTCCGTGTATAAATCATCTATTACTTAGAAATATTTCTCCCTTTAAGGTGGGGCTGTGAGAACTCACTGACCTGCCAGGCCACACAGCTGGTTAGCACCTGAGCCTTACTTCCTGGCCAGTCCTCTTCCTTAGTTACTCCAGTCTAAGCCGCCTCATGTCCTTTGAGAAAAACAATTACAATGCTTAATGCATTTAAAAAATCTAATCTTTTCCCAAATAAATCTAGAGTAATTTGTGTTTAAAACAAGTGTCTTCCACCTTATTTCCAAATAGCTCTCTGAATTGTTGGAATAAAAATAAAAAGTATTTCACTTTCTAAACATACCGTTCTTTCTTACAGGCAATCTGTACAGAAGCTGGTCTCATGGCCTTGAGAGAACGTAGAATGAAAGTCACAAATGAAGACTTCAAAAAATCGAAAGAAAATGTTCTGTATAAAAAACAAGAAGGCACCCCTGAGGGGCTTTATCTTTAGGGAACCTCAGTTGCCTTCAAGGAAGTGGTCAAAAGGGCCGACCCTGGGGAGGGAGGAGGAGGGGGAGTTGCCGTTGCTCTTCATTATGTGCCCTGTGTACCTCTCTGAGCACCGCGTGCAGGAGCCCGACGTGCAGCGCTCCATTCCCAATAAAGCGAGTTCTTTCTCCAGCAGGTCCTCCTGTGTCTGGAGCATCCACACCCGCTGCTCACCAGGTGGATTGGGTGTCAGGGAAGCTTCTGTTCTGGGCGATCAGAGTGCAGCCTTCAATACCTGCTGCCCTCACATCGTGCCCCAGAGCGGGTGGTGACTGCGCACCCAGTGGGGAAGCAGCCAGTGGGGAAGACGTGACCCCATAGCCACGTGCCAGCCATCGCTGACGCTCCAGCAACAAAGGCTGCATTCCTGTGGCTGTGGGTTCCCGGCACTTGGGCAGCGTTGGTGCTAAGAGAAATCTGGAAAGGTCAGGGGTGAAGAAGCTCCTACCAGCCCTGCCTGCCTTGTCCCTGGGTTCAGAAACCATCCTTCTCAAGAGCATCTAAAAGTGTCAGCTTCTCCCCTTTTCTCCATGTAAATCCGGCACTTCTCTTCCTCACAACTGTTTAGTCTTAAAGCCAGGAAGTGGGGCAGCAAGTATCTGGCTGGCCAACATCCTCATGGGCTGAGACACTGCCCTCCCCTCTTCCCAACCTAATGTCCATGTCTGTAGCCAGAGTTCTAGTCCACACACTGGCTTTCCTGGATGAGTTGCCAAAGAAATTTTTCTTCGATTCTAGAGACTGACTTTAAAAAGCCAGAGCAGCCGGACAGCCCTCACAAAACCCCTCCACCTCAGCAGCCCTGTGCACAGCTCAGGACGCAGACCTCCGCACGTCTCACGGGCAGGGGTGGGTCTGGTGGAAGGAGCTGGGGACAGTGCTGCCCCCCTCACTCAGCAGGGCGCCTTGTCTCCTCGGGCAGTGCTTTCCCCACTGCACACGAGTCCCCGGGGGTCCTGTCTGAGCAGATGCTAACACAGAGCTGGTGCGGGCCTGGGCCTACATCTCTAACAGGCTGGTCCACGGCGGAGGCTGAGGAAATAACACTTTTCTAAACACACCTGATACAGGCCAAGTTGATCTGAAGATAGGGCAGAATCTGCTCTACTAACCAGTCCCGGGGGAGGAGGTCCTGGTGTTGAGTAACCAGACCTTTCTAATCGCGACTGCGAAACCAAGACTTGGCAAGGACCACCACGGGTGCCAACTGAGCGGGTCACTCACCCCTGCACTGGCGAGGCAGAGGAGGAAACACACGCCAACCACAGTAGGTTTGGTTACCACTGCCCTGTTCCTGTCTATGTACATGTAAACACAAGATGCGCATCTATAATATGTAAAACGAGGGCTTGTGTCACTGGCACATCCAAAAAAAGTGCAAGAGATGAGACAACCCAGACACAAATTATCTAGAAAACTTTAAAAACGGGTCTGCTGGCACGCATGCTCGCACACCTGATCCCACCTCGTGCTCCCCCAGCTCCCAGGGCAGGGACATGCCCTGAGGCGTGGCCCATCCCCGGTCGCTAGTCCTCCAGCAACAGCTCCAGCTCCTCCAGGGGCAGGCGCACTCGGAGCTCCTTCTCGGTCATCAGGTCCAGGATCTCCTGCATCTCATCGGGGAAGTACTCCACGGCGTCCATGTACAGCGCCTAGGAAGGAGAGCCGCCGCTGGTCACCAGCCACTCCGTCCCAGCAGGCCTGCCCTCCGCCCTCCACAGCCCGCAAGCCCCTCGCTGTCCTGACTCCGGCAGCACCTCAGAGGGCACTGACCTCGGGGCAGTGAAAGGGAGTCAACTCCAGGTGGGACCAGTTGGCACACAGGTTTCTCAGTGTCTGACCGGACTCTGCAGGGCAGACGGGCCATAGTCCCCAATGCCTGCAGCCTCAGGGCAAACGCCGGGAAACCCACAGCAACACCCTGAACCCCGCTCCATGCAGAGACTGGAAGCGTGCCCACCGGCTCAGGCTGCCCAGGGAAGTTCCCCCAGAAGGGCCTGGATGGGCCCTGACTCCCTGACGGACAGGCAGGCGGACACGGGGGACTGACGGGGCAGGAAGGTCCTCAGATGTCAGGAGATACCATGGCCTTTAGAACTTACCTTTGCCCAAGGACAACTCTGAAGTGCTTTGTAGAACACACCCTTGCTTCTGTCCTTATTTCCTAACGAAACCTGAGAGTGGGGGGATGGGAGGGGGAGAAGGGGACACAAAAATGGTGAATTGAAGCAGGTAGACTGAGGCCACAGAGACCACCCCTGCACTGACCCACGCCGGGTCCTCAGCTGCAGCCAGCTGTGGGGTCTACGTACCAGGGGACGCTAGCTATCGGGGCCTCTGCTGTGGGGTCCATTCCTCCACCAACAGGCCCAGAGTGCAGACCGTTCACACTTCTGCCTTGGGCCTGCAGCCTTTCATTCCTAACAGTGCCTGGGACCCCGAGGCCCTGTGTGTGGTGAGGCTGATGGCTTTACATAGAGAAGACATCTGCTTTAACACGTGCCGTTTTCTGAAAACTCTCTCTGAGAAAAGAGCCAGGACTGCTGAATGGCTAACACTGAACGGAAACTTCAGGCAGGCATTTCATTCCGAGAAGGTGTAGACATTCGGCAGGTTTCTCTCCAGGTATAACATCCTTAGTCTCAACTCAGACACGCCTTCTCTCTCCACGCCCGGTGGGAGCCGGAGCTGCAGGCGGCACCCCCCGGGGGCCTCCCACGTCCCAGGAAGGGACCTGTTGCGTGGCAGCTCCTCCGTGCACTCAGCCCACCGGGCAGCTCCCCTGGCTGCCAGGTGTCCACAGCTGTTCGTGGGCACAAGCCAAGCTCGCGGAGCTTAAGTGTTTCTGGACTTTGCACCCACCCACCTACCTCCTCCAGACTCATTCCCAGAACCTTCTAGGGGACGCCAGGCCTCTGCCAGGTGGCTGGTACTTGGCGTCCAGTGAGGGTTGCTGACCAACCTCCCGGAAACCCTGGCAATGGCATCTAGAGACTCCGATCTGTGCCTCGGGAGCTCTGCCCACCAAGGCCCGCTCACTTCCTCTTCCATGTTTTCAGGTTAACGTCCACCATCACCAAGACTGTACCTTTGGGCTGTACCCAGCATCTGTGATAAAAGGTTCAAGCCTCCCCATGTCCCCCCCCCCCCCCCCCCCCGCCCCACAGAGCCTCTGGCTAAACACTCCTGCTTCCCCCCTGGCGTGAGCCTCGCCGTTCTGGGGCTAGACCTCTGCATCGCACGCCAGGGCCAGTGTACTCCAATGTCCTCTCCAAAAATACTGACTAAACTTGAGATGTTTTCCCCTCGTTTTTGGAAGAAGGTTTACTAAGGCAAGTTCTCACCCAGCGTGTCTGCAAGACTCAGAGGTCCTGCACCGCAAGCCAGGTGCCTCTATGAGCTGGCTGGACTCAGAGGGACCCGCTCTCTGCGCTTGTCAACCGGCCACAGACACTCCCGCTGGACCGTACAGAGGGTCTCAGCCAGGGGAAGGCCTATGAGACCGCTGGTTTCCTCCGTTCGGAATTCCCTATTCTACAACGGCCTTGGATGTGACTGCTCCCTCTCACTACAGCGTCCACCTTTAAATTTCCTCATCTTAAACCCCAACCCTTGTACAGTTCCTACGTCACGGCTGAAATCTAACCAGTGGGTGACGCCCATGCACCCTGTGACCCTGCGGGGCTGTGACGGTGAAAGTGTGTCTCCTCGGGCACCTGGGAACGTCTCGGGGCACTAACTGGGACCAGGCACGGGACTGAAGTCACAGCTGCCGAAGGGGCAGAGCTGCAGGTATGGTCTCCATGTAAAAGTCTCCGAGGCTGCCAACAACCGTCCCTAAATACTGCCGAAGCCTCACACCAAAACGCCCAGCAACTACTCCTCCTTGTCCTCCCACCAAATACCGAGTAAAACTGCTACATGCAACTCCCGGGAGCCCTGACATTATCCCCGTCCAAGGGCGAGGGACAAGGAAGCGCCTCCAGCTTTCCCGCGCGGGGCCCCTGGACACCTGCACTTTCTGCGTAAAAAACAAAAACTCCAAGTACTTTCTTACCAAAAACCTCAAGTACATCCTCCACAGTAAGGGGCACTGGCTGCCGTGCTCACTCCGGATCGCATTTTCAAACAGGGCTCTGATCCGGTGCGTCAAGCCGGTCTCAGGGATTGTGGCGTAGACCTCTCTGCCATCTACCCTGCAAGACAAAGGCTCATGAAACCCCGGCGCAAGTTCTCTCACTGACATCACAAGAGGCACAGAGGCAGAGATGCATGTGTTCGTGACAACGAACGTCAGCAGCAACTGGCTCACAGCCTGTCAGGGGCAGGGCTATCCCTCAGAGCTGGGAGTGCTGGGGGTGCGGAGTACAGATGGGATGCGCTCCGCCAAAGCCAGAGGAAGGCAGTGCCCAGGGTTCCGTGGTTTCTCCACCACGAGTCTGACTAGAAGTCACACACCAAGTCCTTGCTTCTCGGGAACCTGTCGGAGAGGCGAAGTGGCCTGTCCAAGGTCACAGCTGGTGAATGGAAGAGCTGGGGTTTGCACCCGGAGTCCAACTCCAGGCCTGGCTCTTACCCACATGCTTTCCCCTCAGCGTCTCAGACACTGAGGCCTGACCATCCCCACCCACCACCGTCGGCAAGGCTTAGGCTCCCAGAAGGCATGGCCAGGAAGCCGGCCACAGAAGCCTCACCTGCGGGTGCTGCTCTTTGCAGTCTCTTCTATAAACCCTACCCACCCCGGTGTGCCAAGCACTGGCCGTGTGCATTTCTGTGCCGAGGCTCAGAGGGCAGGGGACACGCACACGTTCCATAAAGGTGGACACACAAACAAGAGGAACGTGATTACCTCTGGACGGTCTCCACCAGTTGTTTCCTCATTTTCTCAGCTTCAATGGCAAACAGCCAAGGCTCCAAGGGTGCCGCAGACCTGGTGATGGCACCGAAGAACCTCCTGGTCTTGCTGGCGCTGTGGGACTTGCTCTGAAGCTGAACGTAGGACCTCCAAAGAACCTGGTTGCCCGGATACAAGCTCAAAGCCTCTGAGAGCGCCTGCCGCAGAGGAGCCAGAGGGTACACGCTGACTTTCATGTGGAACCTGAGCAGGCTCGTGTGCATCAGTGTGACGGCCTCGAGGACGCTGCTCACACTTGGGGGGCAGGCACTGGCCTCCAGGCCTGGGTCCTCTGGGGAAAGAGCGCCCTTCAGTTTTGCAAATACCTGCTCATATATCTGCACAGCGGCATCGATCCCTATGGTCAAATACTGGAAGAGCATAAAGCATTTAACCACACTAACGAGGCGGTCAAGGGAGGCGGTGGCAGCTGGGTCGGAGACGCGGCCCTCACACAGACAGTCCTGCAGTGCGTGCTCGTAAGCCTTCCGAGCTTTCAAAATGTGAATGGCCAGGACCTGCCCAGTGTAGGGCCCATAGGGACTGCTCTCAGCCAGCCTGGTTAATATGTGAACAGCTCGGGCCGCCGTGGCCACTCTGGTGTCTGGCGCCAGCTCCAGCTCCAGCTCAGCATAGAGCAGACTGAGCTCACAGACCTCAGGGTCCTTCAGCTCCCCGCTCCCTGCCGTGCTGAGCGCTGTATCGAAAACTTTTCTGGCGTCCTCTGTGTTGCCAAGCAACCATTCCAGATGTGCATACTGCTTCCAGAGGCAAAAATTGTTGCAGTTTTCTGGCTCCTTAAGGAGATTCTTGGCTAGTTTTTTGCAGTTCTTTCCTCGTGATTTTAACCTCTTCTTGTTTTTAGTGTGCAGACACCAAATGACCTAGAGGTAAAAAGGAAAGAATAACTCCACGTGCTCTATGATGTTAAACAACCCGGGGTACTGCCAGCCTGAGAAAGCCACACGAGGCGTCTACACTTTCTTCCTTCACCACGTGTCTGGTGAACACTTAGGCTCTCTAATCTGGGAAACAAATCAGGATTTTTTTTCCCTCTATTGATTTTTAGAGGGAGTGGAAGGGAAAGAGGGTGGGGGGGGGGGGAGAGAGAAAGAGAGACATAGATGTGAGACACACACATCAATTGGTTGCCTACCGCACACGCCCCGACTGGGGCCGGGATCGAACCTGCAAACCAGGTACATGCTATTGACTGGAAATCAAACCCATGACCTTTTGGAGCATGGTCTGATGCTCTAACCACTGAGCACACTAGCCAAGGCACAAATCAGGATTTTTTACCAAGGCCACAGGAACCCCAATATGAAACATCCCGGTTTCCATCTGAAACCGCTATAAACAAGGCTCACATACCCTAAATGTTCTTCTCCAAAGAGGCAGCCTCCCAATTTTATACTTTAACCGGTGCACAGATTCGTGCACATTGAAAGGAAATTAATTAGAAGAAATACTTTAATATTGCTATTCGCCCTTTCTCTACAATAGAAGTGTCAACCAAATTCAAGACTGACAATGACAGACAGAAACACACACGTGCGATTGGCGCCAGCGAGAACTTTATATGTATTGCACATGCATGAGTCAACTTAGCCTTTTATATATATAGATAAACTTGCTTAATTAGACCTGCTTTCTGATGTAGCTTAACTTTTTCCAGCCCAGTGAAGCACCCCAACTTTTCTTTCAGGTAACTGTCAGCAACACAGCAGTAAATATCAACACAAAACATTATTGTTGTAGATCACGCAGGAAGAACAAAGGGTAAAATATTTAACTGCAGCAGTGTTTGACTACATTCTGCGCAGTGAGAAAAACAAGTCATTTTCAAGGTCCACCATTTCTTTCTTTTTTTCAGTTGGGTCAAGTTTCTAAGCTTTCTAAATCTCCGTTTTCTGGCTAATGAAAAGAAAATAAGATTCCACCGAGTCTCCTATCTACCTACTCCAGGACTTCTGTGAGGATCAAATGAGATGAGACACGGGACAACGCCTCACAGACATTTGGTTACAGTGTGAAATGTTTGCACCTGGCTATAAAGCAAGTCATATTCCTGGGCTAAAGAAACTCCAAGGAGGCTAGTCACGAGGGAGAAGAAGCTGGGCGTTGCTATGTGACGTCATTACCTGGCGCCCACAGAGACCATTTCTGGGCTGGGCTGGGCTGTGGGCCGCATTTTGCGCCATGGGGTCTTGGCAGCGTTGGCTGCGATTTGGTGGGGTGTTGCTCCGGGGTGGTGGCGGGGCCTGTGTCCCATTTGGGGGAGGCTGAGTGTTGCTTTGTGGGCTCCAGGTCCATGATGCCATTTATTTTTAAATGGCCAGTGTGTGTCATGGCAGCTCCTGTGTTGTCTGTCCTGTGGTGGTCAGTGCGTATCATAGCAACCGGCTGGGAGGACACTTAGCCTTTTATATATAGAGATAATACAACCTAGTGTGTACAATCTGTAGTTAAAATGTCACAACTTTGGGGGTTAAGATTCTATACTAACTTTGGCCAGCAGAGGGCAGAAGAGTCTATTCTAGACAAATTTCTAGCAGATACATAGATAAGAGAGCAGGGTAAGTAGCTTATTTTATCTATTTTAATAAGCCTCTAAATCCTCTAACCCTGCTTAAGCTTAAGCTTGGTTCTTAACACTAAGAGCTCACATAATCACAGGCATCTGGTGACACAAGAATCAACACAAATAGCCCAGTCATTCCTACGTTCCTCTTACTGCAGCTTTAGAAGAAATACTTTAATATTAAGGCCTCTAAAAGGGCAGCCACACACCAGGTGCCGTTAGGGTCCCCGAAGGAGGTGCTGTGGCCCCGGACCCTGAAGAACACCAAGAGCCTTTATAAATAGACACAAAAGGAAGTCCCCACGCAGGGTGGAGGGGCCGGAGTTACCTTTGCGATCTCGTACCGTAGCCAGGAGGAGCAGAGCTGGGACCTCTCCCTGCCGGAAAACAAAGGCATCACCAGGTGGAAGATGTTGCGGATGAACTCCTCGCCCTCTCGGCCGTGACCCCGGGTCCAGCGCCGGCAGCCCAACTGGTCCATGCGACCAACACAGCTGACGCCAGAAAAGGAAAGGTTGAGGAAAGTCAATGGCTGTTCGTCATAAAGTCCGTTATCGAAGATGCTGTTCTCATCCATGGCCAGGTAGAGGCAGGAGGCTGGAGGGCTGAAGCCAGCAGGCACACCCAAGAACTGCAGAAAGGCCACAATCAGCTGGAACTGAAGAGCCTGGCTGGAAAGTCGGATTAGAGATTGTCCGATATCATCAAACAGCACCTGCAACGAAGACAAAGGGACCTGCTCAGGAGCTCGGTTTGTTTATCTATTGTAAGAAACAGAAAACCATCCCAATTCTCCCACTGTCCTCTCCACATGATTGCATAATGATTCAACAACAGACAATTTTAAACAGGCAGGAGCTAGATTTTCTGCAAGATGCCAAAAAGCTAGAGGCTCTCCAGGCGACCCAGAGCGCTGCAGGAGAGGTTTGCAGTGCTGGTGGGACTCCCACACTCCTGAGATTCTCAGAAGGAGGGAGGCCCATGAGCAGGCTGGAGCCAAAAATTTTCAAAATATCCTGTTGGATTCATAGAAAATCTAGAATCATTCACTTCTGAAAGGACACATAATTGCTTTGTAGTCACAAGTGTAAATTTTTTTTAAGATAGAAGAATAACTTTATTGTTCTGTGTTTTTCTGGTACGAAATTGCTTCAGGAAATGAAAAATGTGCTAAAAAAATAGATAAACAGCAGGAAGGTAAGGGAAGAAGGAGAGCAGTTTTAAGAACCTAATACCAACAGTGAGTGTTCGTGGCTGACTTCAGGTAAACTTTAAAATGTAAGACCACGGAGACTACCCTTTGTTCCAAGGTCCTGCACATCTGAGGTCTTTGTGGCTCTGAGCAAAGGACTACCTGGAGTCAACTAATCAAAACCATCCGTCAATCAGAAATCTCCAGGCTTGGAGTTGAGAAAGCTAAGTGACAAGAAACTGCGGGCAGCAGTGGTGTGCTCCAGAAATGAGCTTCCAGGAAACTGCCCAGATTTTGAGCCTTGAGAACTGACTCTGGAAGGGTAATGAACTCTGCAAAACCCCCAACCGCCACAGAAAGACCCCAGTCCTCCCTGAACCTTCCAGCTACAGCCAGGAGAGGGAGCTCACGTGCACACTCGCCTCATGGCAGTCCCCTCACCGAGCACTGAGGGCTCAGCAGTGAAGAAAACAGGCAAACAGCTCCACCCTCGAGGCATGTAACAGGTAGGGAGGGTCACAGACAACAAACCATTCCAAAGCTGACAAGCCTCCCTACTCTGAGTCCATACTACCATGTTACATAACATATACTTATTATACTTTATTCCAAGCAATATAAAATGTATCTTGTGAAACTGGGTCAATTCCAGGTATCAAAAGAGAATCTTTTCCTTTATTATCATGCTGCGGCCATGAGACAGAGCAGCATGTACCAGTCACACAGCAACGGCGGTAACAGAGCCAACGTGAGTTAAATGCCTGGCACACAGCCGTCTGACTGCTGGTTCCCTCTCCAATAAGACTAGCTGTACGCCGACTGTCCCCTAACGGCCTTACATCCAGTCCCCCTTGTCTTCTGGAGTCAAACCTATCGGCCATTTTTCTGAAGATACAAGGAGGGCGGGGAAAGTGGACACAGTTAAAGAATCTAGGACAGGGATTCTGTGTTTTTAAACCCTGAGCCCTCCAGCTTCCATGTGCAAAAGTAACTGAACAACCTGGAAGACCACCGCTCCTATTCAGGGGCAGGAACTACCTGGTCAAGTGCCGCTCAGCTCCCACATCACCAGCAGCCAATGACATTCTACCCTGGTTTTCAGTGAGAGGGAAGTTTCCAGACAAGAACAAGAGCCAGGCTAGCATCTCCTAAGCCAGGCAAGTGCTCTGAGAGCCCAACACCTTCTTTGGGCACCAAACCCAATGGGGATGGGGAGAAGGCAAAGACCCCATGGCTGGCGCCCTCCTGGGGTGGGGTACTTGCCTGTCTCTCTGGATCCTCACAGTCTTCCTCCGTTTGCTTCTTGGTCTTATCAGGCCGCCACGGCCGCCAGTGCCTCTGGTCTCGGGACCGCTCAGCAGCAAGCCAGATCTGCCACCTGGGCAGGGTCTTATCTCTGATGTCCTGGTCATCCTCTTCTGGTTCATCATCATCATCATCTAGGCAAGAACAAAACTTCCAGCTCACTAGCCAGCAAATAAAACCATCACCATCAACACCCAATCAACCTGGATGCCAGCCACTGTGGTGGCCCCTGGAATGCCAAGATGGGTAAGAGCTACCTAGGCCCAGCCTCTGCAAGGCTCAGTGGCCTTTACCGATGGGCTCTCCTGTAATCACAATCAAGGTCCCCCCAGCAGCGGTAGGTCAGCTGCTGAAATCAAATGATTTTTAACACTATCACACCAATGAAAATGAGAACACATATTCTAGAACAGTGCTGACCAACACAACTCTCTGTGGTGATCAAACGTTCCATATCTGTGCTGTCTGACAGAGCAGCCACCACCACAGGGCACTTGAAATGTAGCTGGTAGAAGAAATGAGTTTTTAATTTTATTCCATTTTAATTAACTTTAATTAAAATAGCCACACATGGCTAGTGGCTGCTACTGGACAACATCATTCTAGAGTACTAAGTGACACTTAATGACAACATTGGTTTAGATTTTCTTAAGCCATCAGAATTTTTAGCCAGTGACCTTACGATTATGACCTATGTTCATGTCTTTCAAAAAATGTCAATTCAAGACATCCTTCAGTGATAGCCTTTATCCTTCAGTGATAGCCTCTACTTCACTGTTTCCTGACTCTGAGCAGGCAGAATGGAAGAGGAGAAGAGTTGAATCACCTGCAAAGTTCCACATTTAAACAGAAACAAACAGGGCATGTAAAATGGTACCGCCACTTGGAAAAGTTTGGCAGTTTCTTATAAAATTAAACATGCACTCACCATCAGGCCCAGCAATTGCACTTTTAGGTGCAGATGCCAGAAACATGGAAACCTATGTTCACACACAACCCTATCCACTAATGCCCACAGCAAAGCTTTATTCACAACAGCCCTAAACTGGAGACAACATACACAAACTGGTACAGCTATGTCATGGACATTACTGGGCAATAAATATGAATGAACTATTGACACACACAACAATTTGGCTGAATCTCAGGGGAACTATGCTAAGCGGGGGGGAAAAAAAACAATCTTCAAAGTTACACAGAAAACAAGTGCTGGCAAAGTTACCCCAGACACCTGAAGGGCCCCGCCTAAGAGGCGACAGACATGCCACTTGGCCTGCAGCTCTGCACTGCCAGGCAGATCACAGCCAATCCCAAGTGTTCATTTCTCAGATGAACGCTGGAAGGTGACACCGGTGAAAAGAGGCTGGCCGAGCCTGGTGAGCGCCCATCCACCGCTTTCTCCCTCACACGTGCAAGAAACCAGGTGAGTGAAGCAATTCCCGAAGAGCTAAGAGCTGCACTGGCCAAAACAGTAGCGTTAACATGTGACTACCAAGCCCCAGAAAGTGGCCGGTCTGAACTGAGATGTGCTATAAAGGAAAAATACACACCAGATTTCAAAGAGTTCGTATGGGGAAACATGCAAAATACCTCATTCGTTTCTTAATGTTGATTAAATGTTGAAACATTAATGTTTTTACTACTAGGTTAGACAAAACACGTTATCAGAATTAATTGCCCCTCTTTTCTTTTTGCTTGTTTTAGGTGGCTACTAGAGAATGTGAAGTTACGCATGTGCTTGAGTTATATTTCTACCGGTCAGGGCTGTTTTAGAGGGTAACTCTGGAAAGTACTTTGAGTCATTTAGAATGACATTTATAGAAGTGCTAGTTAATAATTATTTTATAGTAGTCCTTAAAAGGCATGTATTTTCAAATGATCTGGACACTGCCAAGAAAACAAAAAGACCGTCTTAAATACACACTGAAATGGGGGTGGGGATTAGCAATAAGATCAGGTCTTCAGAAGCCTGAAAAGGAAAAATGAAGCATTTCCCCTGAGAGAACTCAAAACCTGCAAGCGTGATGCAGAGAGGGGTCATCTGCTTCAAAGGCTCTAAAACAGCGGTTCTCAACCTGTGGGTCGCGACCCCTTTGGTGGTCGAACGACCCTTTCACAGGGGTTGCCTAAGACCATCCTGCATATCAGGTATTTACATTACGATTCACAACAGTAGCAACATTACAGTTATGAAGTAGCAACAAAAATAATTTTATGGTTGGGTCACAACATGAGGAACTGTATTTAAAGGGCCAGAAGGTTGAGAAGCACTGCAAGAGGAAAACAGTCTATGCTCCTGGGACATCTACTTAATGTACTTTTGACATTGACATTTGTACAATGTTCCTAAGCTACTGCTAATGGCTTCTACATATAAACTACTAATCATGATGACGTACAAACAAGTCCCAGAAGGAAAACTCACACGCGTGCTGCGAGGGCCTTACCTGGGTTGATGACCACCCAGCCGCCCCGCTCCTGCTGGTGCATCCACGCTCTCCAGCCTCGGGCGCCCTTCTCCCCAGCCCGGGGCTCTCCGCTGTCCCAAAAGGGCTCAAAGAACTCCACCTGTTCAGATGTAAGACATGGAGGTTAGCCCAACTTGTACAAATCTGCTGAGTCGCCAGGCAAATTAAGTGCGGGCTGGCCTAAGAGGGGCTATGCTTCGTGAAGCCTTGCCCGTCATCAGTCCTGAAGTAGATATAACACACACCCCAAACAGAAAATGTAATTATCTAGTGGAGGGTGGGGGGCCTCTATGGTAGCCCTCAGGCTATGGGATTCACACCCTTGGTATGGGCTGGACCAAGAATATGGCAAAAAGTGATGGGATGACACGTCCAAGATTGGGTTACAAAGACTGGCCTAGGTCTTTGAGAAGGGGAGGAGCAGAACGGCTTTCTAGTTCTGACCCTGGTTGGCCAGTCTCACAGGAAGCACTGGCACTGCAGGCCCCCTAACTGGTACCCGGAGTCACGCTGCTTTCGAGACCTGCTGAGGGGAAGGGGAGCCAAGGTTCCATCAGGACAGACGCTGAGGTCTTGAGGACATGGCCACGTCTCAACTACCTGCTCCTAACAGCTGGCACAGCGCCCAGCACCTAGTAGGGACTCAATAAACACTTGCTGGCGCAGAGCTGAACATGGCAGGCACCCAACGAATGAACAGGGCTGCAAGCCTGGCCCCTCCTCACTCATCTGGACACTAGGTCCTCAGTGCATGGTAACCAGTTCAGTGGCAGCAATTCCACATGGAACAGAATGTGGACACAGCAAGGAACAGGAAGCGATCATGCTATCAATCCACAGTAAGGACTTTATAAGAGAGCCAGTAACTGGCTCCATGGGAGCTTTGTAAGGAACCTTTGAAGAGGATACCAGGCTTTGAACAGGCACACGGGGGCCAGGAGCCGCAGGATTATCCAGCCTGAGCCCAGAAGTGCCTCGCACGCCAGGGAGGGCGGTGTCCAGGAGAGCCACAAAGGCAGGGCGGCCAGCATGACATGGGCCCTGGATGCTGAGCACACGTCAGCCACCTCAGGAAGGGAACTGGGAAGACTACACTCCCTCTGTTTTTACATTTATATTTTATTTTTTAATTGATTTCAGAGAGGAAGGGAGAGGGAGAGTAAGGTAGAAACATTAATGATGAGAGAGAATACTGATTGGCTGCCTCCTGCATGCCCCCTAATGGGGATTGAGCCCGAAGCTGGGGCATATGCCCTGACCAGGAATCGAACTGTGACCTCCTGGTTCATAGGTCGATGCTCAACCACTGAGCCACGCCAGCCTCGCTACACTCCCTCTTTACAGGTTTTATTTACTCAAAAAAAAAAAGGGGGGTTTTTTAAAGTGTGATAAATGGTTATAACCAATTTATTTATTCCACAGAAACACAGACTAGTAATACCAGACTCTGCCTGCTTATGGTGACGACTTACTCAGAGATACAGAAAGTCACTAAATAAAAAGCTTTATTTCAAGGTTGTCATGTAAATACTTTGCAGTTACCTGTGCTGTTAACCCCAAGAGCTTGGATCAGGCTCTCCTGACACATCAGAGAGGTTGCCGATGCCCACAGTCCTGGCCAGGGCCCGCCCCTGAGCCCCATGAGAAACAGCTCTCATCAGACTGCGAGTGTCAGCAAAGGGGTGGGCATGAGCATGACCCTGACCCTGACCTTGAGCCCCGACCACACACCCCATGCTCTGCAGAGCTGGCTAAGAATCACTGCTGTAGCACAGCATACTCATAAGTAGCAAAGTATGTCTTAAAATAACTGTTATCTGGCTTACTATACGAATAATCAGTTATCCCAATATCCACCAATATTCTTTAACCCAACTTTGTCTGGAAAAAAAATAGATAAAAATAATAATGATATTTCTCTTCCGAGGCCGACGCAATGCAGAGAATGGGAGCGTTTTGAGAGGCAACCACGCCCCCATGAGCTTCTCCACGGCCCCAGTGAGATGACCCAGGAGGAGCTGCAGAAGCAGAGGAGGGAGAGCTTAACACTCCGTGCTCACGCAGTCGGTCAAGAACAACCCAGGTGCTCAACAACTGTCGCAACAACAAGAAGCTCCTGGGCCGAGTGATGGCTTGACAGGCACTGCGACACGGTGCTGGAGAAGTGAAGGAGATGTGGACCGAGGGCCCCGAGAGTGGCGAGGCAAGAAGTCCAAGCCAGTCCACAAGGAACCTGCGCAGGGACTTGGCCTTTGTGGTCCTGCGGAACCCACTCATCACTGGCAAGTAGGGGTTCCTCCCTGCTGTCAAAATTCACTCCCCCGTCCTGCAAAGCCCTGCCCTTCAACAGGAGAACAATAAAATCCTGTGTTTTTTCTAGTGGGAAAGAAATGATGGTAAAAAGTCTTTATAGGCAATTCAAAAAAATTCTACAAGATGGAGACCTAGGCCTCTCGAGAAAGACCTCTGAAAGGTCACCATGAATTCAGATATCCTATCCCTCTCCACCATACCCTTTGCAGAACAGGAAACCGGGTTATCTTCCACGGAAAAGGGAAAAGGCTTTCTTATTGAATAGCTCTGTAATAGGGTTTTCTTACTGCTTCACATCACAAATACTGGCCACGCTCACCTGTCACCTGAATGACTAACCCTCCCCCAATTAGGATTGGTGCTGGCAAAGCACCAGCATGGCATTCCCTTGGCAACTCCAGCGAAGATGGGAGCAGTGACAAGGTTACGAGGGGAAGTTACAAAAGACTCACCTCAGAACGCACTAAAGTAGGCAAGACAATGGTTTTCCTGTCTGTGGGCATAACTAGCATTTAAACAAGGGCCGTAAGTAGGGAAAAAGGGACAAAGTGAGTCTTTACATTGGGGGGTGGGGGGACTCTTGTTTATCTCTCCATGGTTCTCCACCTTCATCATGGACGTTTCCTTGGATTGCTAGAATCTACCTGAGAAACAGTCCTCAGCAGGTCTGATACAAATGATACAAAGGAAGATATGGTATTTTAAAAATACTACCACCACCGCCCTAGCTGGTTTGGCTGAGTGGATAGAGCATCAACCTGTGGACTGAAGGGTCCTGGGTTCGATTCCAGTCAAGGGCATGTACCTCGGTTGCAGGCTCCCAGCCCTGGTCATGGGCATGCAGGAGGTAACCAATCAATGTGTCTCTCTCACATCAGTGTTTCTCTCTGTCTCTCCCTCTCTCACTCTCTCTAAAAATCAATGGAAAAATATCCTCAGGTGAGGATTTAAAAAAAAACACCACCATCACCTCCCATGATCCATCCCTCGCCCCAAAAGAGAGAGGAGCAGGGAAGGAAAGAGGGGGAGGGGAAAAGGGCGGACAGAAAGGAAAGCGGAGCTCCTACCTGCCCTCTGGTGGGCAGGTCTTTCACGCTGTCGGGTTTGAAGAAGGTGAAGTCGACCATGGCCTGGAACAAGGAGACGGCCTTCTCCGCGTGCCCGGCCTGGCGCAGGAAGTGGCACTGCTGAAGAAAGAGCGCTGAACGCGGCAGAGAACTCTGGTTAACACCATCGAGGAAAAACAACCTGATTCCTAAGATACAGTAAAACACCGAGAACATCTTCTCCCTGAAATCAGTTACTGCTGAATTTTCAAAGCTGTGATACCTACATGTCCTGATTTAAAAGGACTCACAACAGCTCTGTAATCAAAGTATATTCATTTAATTTTTATATAAAACCACCAGAGAATACAAATATTAACAATGAAAACTACATATACATAAATGTAAGGCAAGAGGTTGGTCTGAATATTGTTATCAAAAACTCAAAGGATTGTTTCTCAGACAGATTCTAGCAATCCAAGGAAACTTCCACAATGAAGGTGGAGAACCATGGAGAGATAAAACGAGTCCCCCCCAATACAAAGACTCACTAATGTCCCTTTTTTCCTTTACTTATGGCCCTTGTTTAAATGCTAGTTATGCCCACAGAAGATTTCTAGAAAAGGATAGCGTGGTACATTTTTTTTTACCAGAAAGCCAACACCTATCCTCAGTGGATCACTAGATGGCATTATTCACCAGCAATTTTCATCATATGCTCAGCGTCAGCTGTAACCAAATCAAGGTTCCACGCTTGAACATTTCAGTTTGCCTTAAGTGTGGTGCAATTCCACTTACTAAGTCATGTTGAGCTAGTTGAGCATATCACAAATGATAGCACACACGAGGCTTGTTATGCCAGTGTGTAAATGCTTGTTCTCTCTAGAGCAGTGGTTCTCAACCTTGGCTGCACATTAGAATCACCTGGGAATCTTTTTAAAATCCTGATTTCTGGGCCTCATCCTCCAGAAATTCTGTTTCTTTGTTATGGGGTGGGGCCACAACATTAGTAACAAAGAAACAGAATTTCCGGAGGATGAGGCCCAGAAATCAGGATTTTAAAAAGATTCCCAGGTGATTCTAACGTGCAGCCAAGATTGAGAACCACTGTTCTAGAGCAATATATTTGCATCTTTAGAAGTTCACTGTAATCGCAGGGTTTTGACCCAATAACTGCCTGCGGTGTGCCAGCCACTGAGCTAGATTCACCATATACAGTATTTTCACCATATAACCCGGTAAGCAGATAGCATACTATCGTTGCTGAGGGAGAAACAAGAGCTTAAACAGGTTAAGGAACTTATCCAAGGTCATACCAGAACCACTGAAGGGCAAGCCCAGGATTCAAGTCAAGAGCGACATTCTCTAGCTCCTGCATAACGTGCTGCCTCTGATACGTCACTACTGGACAAATTTATATTCTAGGCTCCTTTGGGACACACCAAAAGGCTAACCATATAATCCCAGTAACCTCTAAACTGATGCAAAGATTTCCAGTCAGTGAGGACATCCCACAAGCATTACTGCCCGAAACCCTAGGACTGGAGGTGATGAGCAGCACAGGTACCTCAACAGACCAGGCCGTTGGCAGCCAAAGTTATGTGCCTCCCTGGTTAATAACCAGAGAAGTTGGAACTTCTAGGCCAGGGATAATTTCCTAACTCTACTGTCTCTAATGCCCCCACCACCACCACCAAGAAGCTGGAGGGGGGAGAATCCATCATGGTCTAAAGGAGTCATAATAGTTTTTTTCTTGATTAATCAATTTTATCAATGTATCAATCAGGTTTATCAACTTCGACTCTTCTAAAATAAATCTTCATTTTCAATGAAAGTCAAAAGCATTATTCCCTGCCCAACAGGTGTGGCTCAGTGGTTGAGCACTGACCCATGAACCAGGTCACGGTTCAATTCCCAGCGAGGGCACCTGCTCAGGTTGTGGGCTCAATCCCCAGGAGGAGGCATGCAGGAGGCAGCCAATCAACGATTCTCTCATCACTGATGTTTCTATCTCTCCCTCTCTCTCCTTTAATTTAAAAAAAAAAAAAAGGCAACATCATTCCTCTCATGTAAATGGTTCTGGTCACCATCTCCTTACCAAACACGGCCTCCTCGGTGCCAGGCAGCTCAGGGTGAGACAAGATGCTGCCGTCCTTCACAGCAGACAGTGTACTCAAGCACTTCCCATAAAGGCTGTGAATTTTTGATATTGAAAAGGTGCTGAACTGGCTCTGGCAAAACAGAAGGTATTTCTGCCAAAGGGCTGTATTGTTGGGGTGTAGGAATATCAGCTTCTGCCACTCTTTGACCAGCGTGGAGGGCTCCCAGAACTCCGTGCAGAGCTTCAGCTTGGCGAGCTTCAGGTCCACGCTGCCCGGGTTGCTGTCGATGGCCCGCTCCAGAATGGCCAGCTTCTTCTCCAGGATGAGCTTCAGGGACCGCTTCCGCTTCTCCTGCTCGCCTTCCTCGATGGCATACAGGCCAGGGCTCCTCATGACCTCGTCCTCAACAACAAAAACACCCATTTACAAATGCATGGGGAACTGCACCTCCGGATCGCAGCTGCCCAGGCAGCCACTCACAAGCCCCAGAGGGTTCCTCATCTCTCAAAAGGCTCTGCTATTTGGGCTTTGTTGATAACCACTAGTGTATCACAATTTCTCCTAATGGCAGCTCAGTTCCTGGGGTACCTGTGCCACCTCGTATACTGATCTTGTATTTATTTCACCTGACTGACCTGCCTATTGGCATTTAAAACTTAGATTTATGTATCAATAACTAGCATGCAATGCCTTGAAATCCTTTTCTGGAATCAACTTGACCATTAAAACGGTCAAATGAGGGACAAAATATTCCTGTATAAGTTGTTCAAAAAGATGTAGGCGGAACTAAGACAACCCATGTATTTTAGAAAGGGCGCACGTAGCCCTAAGGAGGTAACTCGACGAGCAGCCCTTCTCTCCATATTCTGCGCTCTCCGCGTGGTCTGTCTGCACTTCCCCAAGGCCTCCCCCTCCTGGTGAGCATCCACTCTTCCCTCAAGATTCTGCTCAGATTTCACCTTCTCTTGGAAACCCTTTCTTACTCTCTATGGCAAGTCACTCCCTCACTCCATCCCCGAATTACACATGAAGGCGTTTATCTCCCCAGATGCATGGCTCTTCACACGCCAGTCTTCTCCCTGCACTCTGGGCACGCTCAGGGCAAGGGCTATAGCGTAATCATCTTTACATGCCCAGTGCCTGGGTTCCTCCTAGGAGCTCACAGAGCACATCGCTTTGCCAACATGAGCACTGCCGTGCTATGTGAGGCAGGAGGGGGACGGTGATGCTTACCTGAAAAGCGACGAACGCCATCCACAGCTGAGTATCCCGAGGGCTCTCCCGCACCCTCCGGTTGAACTCCTCCACCCTGGCCTTGAGAAGCGCGTCCTCACGGTCCGGCTGGGAGTCTGGCTGCTTGGATTCCTGCTCCGAAGGACCTTGTCCCTGTAACCACTGGGTGGTGGATTGATCATAAATCCCCAGAGGGTTCAGCCAGGTTGTAACAGGAGGAGCCACATCGTCCGAGTCCTTCACTGGGATGAAGGAGAGGGGCGCAGACGAGGGAGGGTCAGTTTTACTGCTCACAGCGACTCCGTCAGCGTTCATCAGCCCCACGTTCTTCTTCGTGAAATAGCGCTCGATGTGCTTGTGCACACGCTTCTTCCCCGTGGGAGCCCCCTCCCAGGATATGCACTGCTTCTTAGGGTTAATGCCAAGGCAGGAGTCTCCTTTCCTCTTGTATCTTAAGTATGAAAAAGAAAAAGTTATTGAGGAAATATGTGCACTAACTCTGAATGGGTGAAGGCTCATCACACTTAAAACTCTTGTTATGCAAGTTAAGTGCATATGTGCAAATTCACCTTACCTTCAAACTGTCTCTACTGAGGAAAATAGGAGGATTAGCAGTGAACTTTTTCTGTCCATGTAACTTATTCCTCTAACACTTCAAGTCTCCGTTGACGTCTCACGAATTTAAGCTCATGCCTGCCTCCTGGATGGTGGTAATTTACACTTCCCTGGAGCTTTGTAGTTCAAGTCCTGTCACCTACATTATGTCGTTTGATCACAATCACAGGCGACAGGCAAGGCAGGAACCATCATCCCCTCCTTAGTGTTCCTAAATAAGGACACTGAGACCTCAGGTGACACCAAGTCATCTGTCTCCTTTCCCTCAGTGTGGTCCTGTGTCCCTACTTAAAAAGATAACATATAGGTCTAAGATTCTTTTTTAATCCTGAAACTAAGTGTGTCAAATAAAATTACATCTGGCTATTTTCTCCTCGGGAGGAAAAGAGGCTGGGTTCTGAAATGCTTTTATGGAACATGTAGGCGTCCCCAGAGTTAGGAACACATGACTACCGACTAGCTGCACAAAAGCTCAGGAAAACTGTGCACTTCTCTGTATACATGTTATATAAACAACCCAATTTAAAAATGGGCAAAAGATCTGAACAGAACTCATAAAAGAAGACATGAACGGCCAATAAGCACATGAAAAAAGTGTTGGACATCATGAGTCATCAAGGAAATGCAAATTAAAACCACGAAGAGATAGGCCACATACCCATCAAAACAGCCAAAATTAAAAAGACTGACAATATCAAATGTTGGTGAGTAATCTGCGGGGTAACCAGGACCCCCATATGCTGTCGATGGGAATATACACTGGTACAAGCACTTTGGGAAAAGGTCCGGCAGTTTCTTTAGAAAACTAAGTATAGACCTACCCTATGACCCAGTAATTCTATTCCTAGGTATTTACCCAAGAAAAAGGAAACCACATGTCTACACAAATACTTGTGCACAAATCTTCTCATAAGCTTATTCACAACAGCCAAATACTGGAGGGAGTCCAGGTGTCTGCCAACTGAAGAATGAAGAAACAAATGGTGGTAAATGCCACGACACGGATGAAGCTCAAAACCATTTCGCTGAGTGGAAGGAGCCAGACACGAAAGAGTACACACTATCTGATTCCACTGAATAGACATTCTAGAAGAGACCAAGCTAACTGATAGGAAAAAATTAGAACGGTGTTGGCCTCGGGGGAGGTGGGGTGTGGACTGACTGGAAAGGAGCCTGAGGAAACTTTCTGGGGTCACAGTGATGTTCTCTCCTTCCACAGAGGTCTGGGTTATCCAGGTGCATCCCTCTGTCACCCTCAGCAAATGAAGATCTGTGTATTACAATATATGCAAATTTTAAATCAAAAGAGAAATAAATGAAACAAATCTTGGACTATAGTTAATGATATCCATGCTGAAGTATTTAGGGGGTAGTAAATTGATGTTGTCAATTTACTTTGAAATGCATCAAAAACTAATATGGGTTAATGAATGAATGGACAGATATATGATAAGGCAAATATAATAAAACTAGAGGCCCGGTGCATGAAATTCATGCACACGTAGGGTTCCTAGGCCTGCCCAGCGATCAGGGCTGATCAGGTTCCCTGCCTCCCCGCCTCCCCGCCTCCTCCTTCCCTCGCAGCCCATCCACCACCCTCGCTTTCTCAGCACCCCACCGCCACCGCTGGTCACTTGCCATGTTCCACACCGCTCCCTGGTGGTTAGCGCATGTCATAGCAAGCAATCCAGCTCCCGGTTTCCCGGTTGAACTCCCGAGGGGACAATTTGCATATTAGCCTTTTATTATATAGGATAAGATGAAAGAATGTAGGGGGCAGGTATATGAGTGTTCACTGTAAAATCCTTCCAACTTCGCTGTATTTTTTTACATTTTCATAATAAAGTGCCAAGGAGAGAAAAGGCAGGAGAGACCCGCTGCCATCTTCTATCAACTCCCAACTCCCGGGAGCTCTGCCCCCTCCCCCTGTGGCTGAGCCAGCACCTCACTGGCTTCCCACTGTCAACAGGTACCCGAGAAGCTCTCTGCTTGCCTGTGCTCCCTCGCTGCCCAGGTGCAGTGAGTCCACTTTGGGGAAGAGTGTATCACACACACGTACGAGCTGTCTCTCAAACCCTTCTCTTCATCCTCTCCCCCAGCTTCTCCTAGATTATCTCCAAAGAACCTCTCTCCGTTCCATTTATGAGTTAAAAACAACTTTAACAATAGGGTGAGGAGATAAAATAGTGCTACAATTGCTCTAAATGAGCCTATCATTCCCCAAGGAACAAATTTTAAGTAAAAAACTAGTTTTTTTGTCCTTAATTACTATTTTATTTTCACTAAAAATGAATATTTTAGAAATTCATATATCCAAAACAGGTTTACTGAGTTTTCCGAATTTAAAACTGCATTTTGTAAAACTAATTTTAATAGCTGCATTTCATAACAAATTAGATGAAAATGATAAAGGAGAAAAAATAATATTACTGGTCCATATTTTTAAGCATCTTCTTTCAGACATATGGGTATGTATAGATTTATATGTATATATACACAACCCATATTAAAATAGTTATAAAGCTTCAGACTTTTCTTCCTATTTTTTAAGTATTTTCCCACACTATTAGTCTTAATATATGTAATTTTTATTGGCTTTGAACTGGTCCATTTAGAGGGGTATGCCATAGTTTATCTAACAATTTCCAGGACATTTAGGTTGTAGCCAATTTATCATTTATCAGAGAATCCTATTAACTGGACAGGACCTCTTGGCCTTATATCCCATGATTCTCTACCTTCTCTTTTGATTACCTGTGAGCTGCTTGGGAACAGAGATTGTATATTATTGTTCTTTATGTTCCCAACAGTGTCTCACAAAGCACTAAGTACCTAAAAGGTTTAATAAGTATTCAAATATTTTTTATTAACAGATTAGAGGAGAAAAGCTTAAACTCATTACTGAAGCAAATATCATCACCTGTCTTATGATTATCTAGTGATGTATGGTGAAAACATTTTGGAAAAGTCATTACCATTTAAGGTCATTTTTAAAATGGGAGTGGCAGATGGATAAATAAAAGGCTTTTGCAACTTTTTAAAATGGCATATAGGTTAGAGCAGTGGTTCTCAACCTTCCTAATGCCACGACCCTTCCATACAGTTCCTCATGTTGTGGTGACCCCCAACCATAAAATTATTTTTGTTGCTACTTCATAACTGTAATTTTGCTACTGTTATGAATCGTAATGTAAATATCTGATATGCAGGATGTTATTTCCATTGTTACAAATTAAACATAATTAAAGCATAGTGATTAATCACAAAAACAATAAGTAATTATATATGTGTTTTCTGATGGTCTTAGCCAACCCCTGTGAAAGGGTCGTTTGACCCCCAAGGGGTCGCGACCCACAGGTTGAGAACCGCTGGGTTAGATCAAATGGTTTCCAGATAGTTTGTCACAATTATTTCACGGTATTTTTAGATTCATTCATGCAACAAATACTTACTGAACACCTATTATGCCAGGCACTGTTCCCCAAGCACCATGGATAAATACGATTAATCCGACCTGAATCCTGATCTCAAGTTTTAAGTTGTCATTTAAGAATGTAAGATAAGATACGCCTAAAGAACTTAGCAATGGACAAAAACCCAACAGAATCTACAAGAGGATGGGTGTGGCCGGCCCGCCAGAGACAGGCTGAGAGAGTTCAGGAGAGAGAAGTGACTTCCCACCAGAGAAAGTCAGGAAAAGGTAGGATGGGTACCTGGCAATATCTCCTCGGTAGAGAGACTTATACTCCCAGTTTGCAGGGTCTGGTTTCTTATCTGTTCTGAAGGTTTCTCCTGTCAGAGCCTGGATGTCCTCAAGCCAAACACAGCGGGGCCCAGCAGCAGCAGCAGCAGCGTTCTTTTCTTGGCTATGGGACAAGGGAAGGTGAAGAAGAAAAAGGGAGAGGCACTTAACAACCTTCCATTAACATTTCACATTTGCAGCAACATGGAAGTTACACGTTTCAAACCCCACACGGCATCAAGGGAACCAGGTGCCCAAAATGCGTACATGCCATACAGACGAGAAGAGGAGGCCTGCTGCAAAAGCAGGTTTAAAACAGAAAGCAAACCTGTCAACACTAAGCGGCACTTTCCCAGAAAACAAGTCATCTCAGAACCTTACCTGAGGGTACGGAGGTGTTCTTTTCCAAGTATTCCATTTAAAGTACTGTAACCTGAATGTCAAATATATTCATAAACAAGCGATTTTTCTTTAAGAAAAGAAAAAAGGTGGGCGGCTCTTACTTCACCTTATTTGAAAGTGCTTGGGTTATTTATTCCAACCCCAAACTCAGCAATGACAACAACAAAGGCCACAGTGGCGAATAGTTCCGCCTCAGATGTCACTTGGGATAAGTCTAAGTCTTGCTTTTCTGGCCTGGGCTCTGAGCACGGCTTTGCCTGCATGGACCCACCTCCTACATGAAGGGCAGAGTGCGCCCGCTGTAAGACAAGGCCCTGATTTATCCCTCTGCGCCAGTCTGTGAGCTGGCAGACCTTCAGCTCAGATACCAATGGAACCACTTCCCTAGGAGCCAAGTGAGAGGGAGGGGAGGCTTCTGGCATCTCACACCTTTCCTCCTCTAAAGAAAATCAGTTCATGCTGCTGCTGACAGATGCTGCCAAAGGTCGCAACAGCCATTGACTGTTGTCCCACCTGCTTTTTAGCTCTCCCGGACAGAAATGAGGATTCTGGAGGCTTCTAAATCATTCTTGGCTGGGAATACAAGAGAATGGTATTTCAGGGACACAAAGTAGCAATTCAATAAATATCTGTTCAATGACGTCTCCGGTTAACAGGGTGATGATAACACATCCCCCTTCAGAAACACGGTGGAGGGGTTTCTGTCAGTGAAAACCATACGGGTCAGGCCAAGGGAGGGAAAGAGAGGGATGCCTTCCAGAAAGAAAGGGAAAGCCAGCTGGGGGTAAAACAAAAAATAAAAGGAAGGGCCAGCAGCAGACCATCCCTGGGGAGTGAACAAGCCCTAATCCCTCCCCTGCTGAGTATTCAGGTCAGGAAGCAGGATGTGGTCTGGGCTGTGCGCAGGGAGGAATCTGCCTCCCACCTGAAGGTGAAGAAGAAGTCATCCCAGGAAACAAAGGTCAATTAGAAGCTATAGTCTCTAGGGAAGTCGTCCCTTGATCTAGAGACCCACAGGGTGTATTACCCCCCATGAATCCACTTTACTGACATCACAGAAAGACTCAAACTCACCAATCAATATGGAAACAAACAGTTCTTCCAGGTCACCTTCCCACAAAGAGACTACAGACAGTCATACTAAGAACGTAAAACAGGACAAAAACATTTTATTTTTATCTTATTGGGGATATTCTGCAAAACATCAACAAATTTAAAAATGCTGTCTGGGTCATAAAACCACCAGGAGGCTGCAAAGATCACCTCTGTTGTGGTTAAGCACAGGCTGCAAACAACTATCTTTCCAGTTCGAATGGTGGTTCCTGTGTGTGTTCAGGAAATCCTCTGAAGCTTTTCTGCCTCGGCTAAAAAAGGGACAGGTAGCTAACAGTGAATTTTCAGACGCTATAACGATTAATATATTTTTCTTTGAAGACATGCCAAAAAAGCAAGAATGTCAATAATATACTCACTCATTTGCTTAACAAAAATGCATTCGGCGTGTGTATTACTACGCATCAAGCCCTGTGCCAAGGCCGGGTGGAACAATGGTCAGCAAGGGGGGCCTGGCTCCTGCCCACAGAAATTCCCACCTTTTTGCTTGACCCCTTATTTATCCTCCGAGAGCAAGTGTGGGTTACAGGGAGAGCGCCTGAAACACACGGAGGGCTAAATACACCTGGCATGTCAGAGGCCGGCATGTCCTCCACCACCGGTCAGACAACAGAAGGATCCTGAAGACTGCGGCGTCCGCCTCTCCAATTGAAACTCTGCTCCACACAGAGTTCTCACTGGCATCGTGGGACTTCTGAGCATACAACAAAAGCAAATCACCCCTCGAGAATCGCAGAAATCTTACTAGCACTAAACTTTTAGTATGCCATGGACGGGTGCTTAACTTTTCTCTCTTCTCGACCGTATGAACAAAGAAAAAAAAAAGTTAAATAGGGGATAATTCAAGTATTTTCAGCACATACTCACTGTCCTGCCTCTGGGCAAAGGGCCTCCCTATGAAGGGGGATGTTAGACGGAGCAGAGAGGAGCAGGGACAGTGAGGACCTACGCTGTGACCGTCTGCAGAAGGACTTGGACAATGCCCTCGAGGTAGGCAGCAGCCCAGGATGCACAGCAGTGAAGCCCCCGGAGAGGAAATACTGTGGTCATAGCTAGCTTATACCTCCAACTCAGTGGTTCTAAAAAATGTGAAATAAGAACAACAGCAACTATTATTTTAAGGGCTATAATGAACCTTAACAAACAGTGTGAGAGGGGGTGCACAGAGGGGTGAAAGTGACTAAAAGGAAGATACAGCACAATGAGAAGAAGACGATTCTCTTATTCCTGATAAATGTGGAGCCAATGGCCCCTTCGAGTGAACTAGCCCAGACGCTCACCATGTGCACATTTGCCGTCTTTCAAAACTCCCAAGGATTTTTTTTTGGTCTAAATCAGATTTTGACATAATCATTACCATGCCTAACATTTCTCAAACAAAATCATGACCCTAATTTGTTAAAAATTTTTCTTTATGTTGACAAGATGGTAGAACTATTTTTCCCCCAGCTTTGTTGAGATATTTTTTGACTTTGTTTGACTGAGTAAAGTTAAATAATCATTTAAGCGCTTAAGTTATGGCAGTAATCGGGGGAGAAAAATTAAAGATTTAGAAGATCACAGGTGTTGAGGCAGGACACCTACCTCAGTGTCTCCAGTCCTCTGCTGCCGCCTCTGAGGCCTCTGGGGGATTTGTCCTTTTCGGAGTCAGTGTCTGGTTCGGACCCACTGCTACTGGACTGCCCGCGTTTTCTCTTGGTTTTCTTGTGGTGCTGATGCTTCCTCTTCTTCTTTTTCTCCTTCTTCTTTTTCCTGCTTACTTGTCTGAGGTTTCTGTTCGAGTCACTTTCATCTGATAGCTCTGATTTCAGAGGACTCCTGTTTGGGAAAATCCACATTAGACTTTTTAGAAGAGAATGAGGGGAAATAATATGTAAATAAGTAACCAAATAAACAAGTATATAAAAGGACAGTCTAAAAGTGCTCACACAGACTTACTATTTGCCCATATATCATAAAATATCTTCCTGGATCACAACTCACCTTAAAATAAAAGTTGGATCTAAAGTAAAACCAGGTAATGAAATTCTAATAGCTTCTGAAGCTATACTTTGATATCTATACATTTTTAAATGAAAGTAATCTACCAGTTATTTTATCAAATATAGTATTTTTAAAAGCAACATTAGAAAAGGTTTCTTTCTTTTTTTTTTTTTAATATACTTCATTGATTTTTTTACAGAGAGGAAGGGAGAAGGATAGAGAGTTAGAAACATAGATGAGAGAGAAACACCGATCAGCTGCCTCCTGCACACCCCCCACTGGGGATGTGCCCGCAATCAAGGTACATGCCCTTGACCGGAATCGAACCTGGGACCCTTCAGTCCGCAGGCCGACGCTCTATCCACTGGGCCAAACTGGTTAGGGCAAGGTTTATTTTCTTCATCATTACTGAAATATCTACAAACAACTCCCTCTCATGTATCAACTACTCTCAACTTTCAATGGCTTCTTCCGCTTTGGGAGAACATGGTTTCCGGGGGTTCATCGTATTAATGGACCATCTAATCTATATTGGCGGGCGAGTGAGCTCATTTCTCAATTCAATGATCTACAACAATATTCTTTCAAAGCTGGGTAGAGATGTGTACCATTTTGCTTTTCCCAACGTTTTCATGAGATTTCTCCTATGCTATTGTGGAGGTCTAGAAGGAGGTACCCCGAAGGAGTGCCTCAGTGATATGCAGATTGCTTTGAGCTAAAGGCAATTTTAGCTTCAGGCTCAAGAGAAACTTCTCCTCCCTCCCCGATTCCTTAACTACCTAGAAAAAGCTGAATTAGAGACCCTGGCCCATAAGAGATTGTCATAGCTTCTTCTGACCTACCTATAGGTCAGGAAACTTCTATTTTACTATCCTGCAATGAGCTTCTGAAGGCACCTCACCTCACCCCTCATTCAGGATGTCTCCCTTTCTATCTCTGAACCTCCCATGCATGCGGGGTCTCTTCCTCTCTCCTGTATGTGGGGTTCCCGTGCACACTATATTAAATTCTATTTTCTCTTGTCAATCTACCTCCTGTTGAAATATTATTTTGCTAGCCAAAAAGAGCCAGAGGAAAGAAAGGAAAAACTTCCCCCTTCCCCACATTATATTATGCAAGCGCCTTCTATTTTTACAAAAATGTTGAAAATGCAACTGAAGAAATAGCTGAATTCTATGTTTATCAATATTCTAAAGGTTACTAATGAGGTTAGTAAATAAGAGTCACAGTGATGCCATTTCCCTCATGGGCTAATTACTGGCAGTAACTGTGTCACGCAGTTGCCACTGCAATGCAAAGGGGGAAAGGAATAAGAGTGAGGTAAGGGAAAATAGTCAAAGGTCGCCTCATTACTCTCAGTGAGAGCTTTACTTAGCTCTTCTGTCATAGGGTTTTCTAAGGAGGCTCATTCAGGCTAAGCCATGGGTGGTCACTGACAAAGACTCAAACTCCATCTCCCAAAAGTACTACCTCGTCAGTGGTGATCCTTCAGAAACAAGGGCTGCGGCCTCTTCAGTTTGTTGGCTCAGAGTTGTGACGGTTTCAACACAAAAGCTTGGGTTGCTCAGCCAATCTAATTCTGCACACGCAAAAGAGAGAAAAGACCAATGAAACGAGCTCAGTATAATTTCTAAGGCAGGAAATCCATCTTACCAGCTCACATCCTCATTCACAGCCAATGTCAGCCAGACACTTAGAATAGTCCACAGAAGCGGAAGGTAATCCATGAAATTTTTATTTCACAGGGCATGGGGCTGAAATCCTCTGTGATACGAGGCAAAAGCCATGTAACAAGTGTGGCCTAAAAGGCAACCAGGCTTTATGCATTCCATCCACTCTACTGAGCAGGAAAGCCTCGTAAGCATTAGTTTTTAATGACCTCAAATTTGATCTAGGCAATTCCAAAAAGTTAAAAAATCAAGTCATGCATAAAAGCCCGCCATACTTACCTTGTCACAGAAGAGTAAGACTCTTTTCTTTAAAAGAGTACTCTAATGTTCTATCTGAGTTAGCATAAACCTGTCCTTATAACAAACACTCCTCTGAAAATAGAAACACAAGGGTGGCTCAGTTGGTTGGAGTATCATCCATCCCATACACCAAAAAGTTGTGGGTGTGGTCCCCAGTCAGGGCACATATGAGAGGCAACTGATCAGGTGAAGATGTAAAAACATACACACACAGGTGTCAACTTTTCTAACTAAAGTTAAAATGATATAAGATACTAACAATGACTGTCCTGGCCAGTGTGGCTCAGTTGGCTGGAGTGTCATCCCAAGCACCAAAAAGTGGCGAGTTCAGTTCCCAGTAGGGCCAGTGTGGGAGGCAACCAACCGATTGATGTTTCTCTCTCTCCCTCTCTCCCTTCCTCTCTGTAAAATCAACAAATAAAAATAAATAGTAACAATGATTATTTATTAATAACAGATTAAATGTCTGAAACAATTTTTCTGCTTACTCATTAATTTCTAACTCTTCTACAATGAACTATTTATAAATTACTTATTTTCTAACTTTTAGGTGTCTCAGCTATGAAGGAAAGTAAGAAAATCATAGGTCGGGAGAAGGAAGGGGACCCAACGAGGGGTTTATATTTGTCCTACTTTGCTTTAGGATGGGTGGTCAGGGCATATTCTTAGGCTGAAAAGATGGGTGCAGTTAGAATAGAAAAGGGAAATTAGATTTTTAACAGTTGTACTGGCATATTATTTATATACCATAAGGTTTAACCTTATAAAATGTACAATTCAGTGGGATTTAGAATATGGTGTAATATCACTATAAAATAATTTTAGGACATTCCATCATCCCAAAGAAACCCCATACCTGTTAACAGCTACTCTCCACCACCCACCTCCTACTCTCCCACCCCAACTCCAGTCCTAGGTAACCACTTATCATTTTTCTCTACATACTTGCCTATTTTGGACTTTTAATATAAACAAGATCATACAACACATGGTCTTTTGTAACTGGCTTCTCTCACTTGACATGTTTTCAAGATTCATCCATGCTACAGCATGTACCACTACTTTATTCCTTTTTACTGCCGAATAATATTTTATGGATTATACCACATTTTATCTATTCATCAGTTAATGGATACTTGGGTTGTGTCCACTTTGGGGCTATGATGAATATCGCTGCCATAAACATTCATGTGCAGGTTTTTATATGAACGCATGCTTTCATTTCTCCTGGGCTGATGTCTAGGAGCAGAATTGCTAGGTAATTCATGCTTGGCATTATAAGAAACTACCAAGCTGTTTTCCAAACTGGCTGCACCACTTTACATTCCCACTAACAATGTATGAGGATTCCAACTTCTCCGCATCCTTGCCAACTTGCTACTGTCTTTTATATTACAGTCATCTGAGTGGTGTGATATTTTCTCATTGTAGTTTTGATTTCCACTTCCCTGATGATTACTGATATTGAGCAACTTCTCATGTGTTCATTGTCATTCATACTGGACTAGAAATAGCTATTCATTGCCCATTTCTTAATTGGATTGCCTTTTTATTATTGAGTTATAAGAGTTCTTTACATATTTTGTATTCTAGTCCCTGGTGACAAGTATTTGTTTTCTTCACTGCTATACCCCAGCACTGGACCCAGTGCCTGGCATTCGGTAGTAGGAGTTTAATAAATATTTGTGAAAAACAGGAAAGGAAGGAAGGAAAATTCCTCAGGAGGAGAGGTACGTTAAAAAGCACAGGAAAGGGGGAAAGAAAGAGGGATTCTAATTAAGTGCCTACAGTAGGCCAAGCATCAGGGTAAGCACTGTACATCTTTACCTGTTAATCCTCTATGGGATGATGATCTCTGCTATACAGCAGAGGAAACTAAGGCTCAAAGGGACTAAGTCATTTATAAAGTCAGACCCAGTAAGTGCTAAACAACCGTGCACACAATCTTTTTTCTACTGTCTCCTTGTTCCTTCTGAGGTTGGTTCCCTTCCCTTGGGCCTAATTTCCGGCAAGAGGCATGTGAAAATAGTTCCGGTTGCTTGCTGAGATGACAATTATTTCCACAACAACTGGATTCTAGAGTGAACAGAGGGAAAGAAAAGCGGGGAGAGATGGAAAAAACATGCAAGGAGAGGTGCTCTCGAACAATTCCAGGGTATTTTTACATAAAGATTCTAGATGGTGACAACAGCTTGGAGGAAAGGTAAACAAATACAATGTCAAAAAACACAGTGTGCCTCTCCAAAGTCCTTCAGAAGGTTCAAGAAGGAGTTTTTAAGGGTGCAATTAAGGCATATGGGATCATGGGGGTGGGGGGAGAGTGCGGAGAGAGAGTATAAAGAACTAACAACTCTTGGGTTTTGAACTCAAATAATCACTGGCCCTCTGTGTGACCTTCATTTCAAATGATCTTTTGTCAGTGTAAACCAAGCATGTAAAACTCACGGCCCACGGGCCGCATGTAGCCCACAATGAATATTTTTGCGGCCCAGCCAATATAACGGTATGTAAGAATCATTTTAATAAAAATTTCATAACTTAATTTTTATAATATCCTATTATACATAATTATTAATAACAAACTACAACGTTCGCTAATGACTGATGACTAGAATCATGTTGCATTCATTTCCCTTCCGTGCCTTCCGCGCAGGCACACCATTTCTCTCCACTAATACTAGCAGCGAATATTTTAGCAGCCGAGTGCCACGTCATTGGTCTTGGACTGACTTGTTCAGTGTGCGCAACAGGAAGTATTTCGCTTTTGGAGAACAAGAAAAAGAGGTTTATTTACCTTACGCTTATTAATTTGTGCAGTTATTCAGTGTCTGGTAATGTTCAAGAAAAAATATTAATTTTTATTAAAATGTTCTACTATTTTATGTTAACGATGACTCATTTATTTCAGCCCTTTGTATTCACATGTCTCTATTGAAATAAACCTACGTTCCATGAAAATTGAAGCTCTTGATTTTTTGCGGCCACATAAACTTAAACCTTGTTTATTTGGCCTGTGTTGTTAGCCTTTGAGTTTGACATGCTTGTTCTAAACTAAAGGTCAACAACTCACACCCCTATAGGGTCCAGGTTAGTAACGATTACTGTGACATTATAGGGAGTGACAATAGAAAAAAGACAAAACAAAAATATTTTGCCAGCCAAACAAATACACCAACTGGTTTCCAGCTTCCCTCTTCTTCCTCCAACTCCTTTCTTCCCAAACTAAAAGCAACATGAGGGCAGAAGCCATAACCACTCACTCCTGTATTCCCAACTCCCAGCACAAAGTAACTGGACTCATAAGTATTTGTCCCATAATGAATGAATAAAGATCTGAACCATATCTTTTCATCTTGTATCCCAGCACCTAATTTACTGAACAAATGGAAGAGATTTTTTAAAAGTATGCCATTAGGTGGGTATAAAGTACAACTATTATAACTCTTCCAGACTTCACTGTAAATAGAGATTTAATAAGTTAAAGAGCCGAAACCGGTTTGGCTCAGTGGATAGAGCATCGGCCTGCGGACTGAAAGGTCCCAGGTTCGATTCCGGTCAAGGGCATGTACCTGGGTTGCGGGCACATCCCCAGTAGGAGATGTGCAGGAGGCAGCTGATCAATGTTTCTAACTCTCTATCTCTCTCCCTTCCTCTCTGTAAAAAATCAATAAAATATATTTAAAAAAAATAATAATAATAAGTTAAAGAATAGCGTGCTGAATACTTACTATGTGCCGGGCACAGTTCTCGGCTTTGGGGGGTACAGTGGTGAACAAGTTAGGCCAGGCCTCTGCTCCTATAGTGCTTATACTTAATCATAACCTTATACTTAACATAAATTCTGAATCACAACTGGATAAAGTATCCAATTCTATACCCATTCCCCATCCTATTATAACCAAATAGCATTGATTACTAGTTTGTTTAAGTGAACTCAGGTGAAGGCCACACCTCCAGGGATGGTAATTCAAAAGACATTTCTAGGGCTCATTGCATAAATAAATTAGCATATGTATTAAGGAAGGGGTTCCTTTAAAAAGAATGAGCCAAGCTCTTCATTTTGATCAAAACCCTTACTTTGTGACAAAGAATCTGACAGCACAAACATTCCTACAAAAAGCACTAGAAAACGTGGCTCAAAACTACACCTAAAAATGGTGAGCCCTGGCTGGTTTGGTAGAGCCTCGGCCTCTGGACTAATGGGTCCCAGGTTCGATTCCAGTCAGAGGCACATGCCTGGGTTGCGGGCTCGATCCCCAGTGGGGGGTGTGCATGAGGCAGCCAATCAGTGATTCTCTCTCATCATTGATGTTTCTATCTCTCTCTCCCCCTCTCCTTTCCTCTCTGAAATCAATAAAAATATTTTTTAAAGTGGTGATTAAAGAGAACCTAGGCAAAGATAGCTCTTACATGAAGTAAACCTACAATTTGAAAACACCCAGACCCACAGATAATGTATAAACAACCAAAACCAGAGCATGTTAATATCATAGTGTGGTTTCTAACACAAGTTCTGGAGTCAGAAGAACCTGTGTTCAAATACTGGCTTTATTATTTATTAGTTGTACAACACTGAATAAAAGAATCTGAGTCTCTTTCATTCAGCACTTTTTTTTACTGAGAGCCAGGCACTGTTCTAGATGCTAGGAATGCAAAACCAATAGGACAAACCCAACATGACCCTCAGGGAGCTGACACACTGGCAGTCATTGTATGCAATGGGACAAACGCCAAAATAGAGAAAACACTCAGCATAAAATCAGAGCACATACTTAGGTCCCCCTCATCCAAACTAGATATGGATCAGAGAAGACTGCCTGGAAGAGCATCTCTAAAGCAGCGGTTCTCAACCTGAGGGTCGCGACCCCTTTGGGGGTCGAACGACCCTTTCACAGGGGTCGCCCAAGACCATCAGAAAACACATATATAATTACATATTGTTTTTGTGATTAATCACTATGCTTTCATTATGTTCAATTTATAACAATGGAAATACATCCTGCATATCAGATATTTACATTACGATTCATAACAGTAGCAAAATTACAGTTATGAAGTAGCAGCGAAAATAATTTTATGGTTGGGGGTCACCACAACATGAGGAACTGTATTAAAGGGTCGTGGCATTAGGAAGGTTGAGAACCACTGACCTAAAGGATGATAAGGACTTGGGCAAATATGCTCCCAAGAAACACCGAGGCAGAGGACGCGGCTTATACTATACTTCAGGTTGTCCCAATAGTGTTGAGGAAAGTTCTTCATAAAATAACTGAGCTAACAAATATGGGAGGGATGCTAAAATTAGAAAATAACCATTTTGTAACCCCAACGAAATAATAGAGCTAAGCAATAATCATAAATGGCTGCAAAGATTATTAGGTGAAGACTGACAGTGGAAAGTTTATAAAGGGAGTGTTGCTCTTGTCATTTATCTTAGCCAGTATTTATTGGACATCTCGGTATCCTGCATGGATAATGTTTGTAAAATACTATATTTTAAAAATATAGTGGATGAGTCCGGTTGTCCAGGAACCCACTGATGGATCTTAACATCACTAAGGGAGAGAAAACTAGACAGCAGATCTTCCTGATCTGATTCAACACTGAGTGCAGAGCATCTCCAATGAGCTATTTTCAACTAAAAAAAAATTATGCCTGAATCTAATTAACTCTCTAGATCTAATTACCAGTTTACAGGAAACACTGGGAGAAGCATATTAAATGACACCAGGAGGATTTGGTGGAAAATATGTATGGGACAAACAATCCAGTTTCCACAACAAATCACAGTGGAAAACGGAGGGGAGGAAGAAACTTTTATACTTAAAAGGCACTGAGAGACACACTCACAAAATGCAACGTTGTATCTTTTTTGGATCCCGACTTAAACAAACGAACTATAAAAGGCCATTTTTGAGACAAACTGGGAAGTCTGAACATTGACTGACAATGAGATGACATTAATTTCATTGAGTAATACGTTGTTTAAATTTTTAAAAATACAGTACTTTACAAACAACACTTTTACAAACATTATCCATGCAGGATACCCAGACGTCCAATAAGTACTAGTTAAAAGACAAGAGCAACACTCCCCTTATGAACCTTCCACGTCACCCTTCCATAATAAAAGGATAAGCCCTTGGCCTGTTACCCAAGTCACTACCTTCCCTCATCACCAGTCCCAACCATATTTCCCAAGGCTCCTATATTTCCTCTATATTTCCAGACAAACTGGACTATTTGCAGTTCTCTGCACAGGTCTCATGCTCCCCTTCCTGCATGCCTTCGAAGGCTCTGAAATGCCCTTCCACTAACTCTATTTGTCTAAACCCCACCCTCTTGAAGACCCGCCTCTAAAGTTAGCTCCTACATAAAGCCTTATATGAAGCTCCCATGAGAAGTCATTATTCCTATAGTTAACCTATCCTATACAATGGGGCCTTGACTTACGAGTTAAATTCGTTCGGTAATGGAGCTCGTAACTCAAATTACTCGTATGTCAAATCAAAAAGTGAACAAGTGATGCTGGGCTGATGTTGTGGCATTCACTGTGACGTTCGCTGCGTCAACTAGCGGTGGGGTATCTGAAGCTGGCTCGTAACCCGAATTTTAGCTTGCAACTCAAAGCAAAAAATCAGCCAAGAGATGGCTCGTATCTCGAAGAGCTCGTTAGTTGGGACACTTGTAAGTCAAGGCCCCACTGTATAATAAAACCCTTATATGCAAATCCACCAGTGGCTATGACACGCACTGACCACCAGGGGGCAGATGCTCAATGCAGGAGCTTCCCCTTGGTGGTCAGTGCGCTCCCACAGGGGGAGCTCTGCTCAGCCAGAAACCAGGCTCAAGGCTGGAGAGGCTCCTGCCACCGCTGCTGAGCCTCTCCCACCTCCACTGCAGGCCTCCAGTCAGTCAGGAGCGAGGGGTCCCAGACGGCACAGGCCGGGCTGAGGGGCTCCCCGAGTGCACGAATTGCATGCATCAGGCCTCTAGTGACATCTATAACATCCTGCCTTGTACTGCTATTTCTTTGTTAAGCACCTACTACTGTTCTCTACATTCAGCAAATATGTAGTGAACATCTACTCTATTTTTGACCCTTGCTAGGGGCTAAGTGTGCTACAGTGGACAGACACTGTCCTGGCCACATGGAGTTTAGAATCAGTAAAGGATGATCAAAATTACACTAATTATATGAGAAATTACAATTATTGTATTACCAGAATATAGATGTCAGAGCCATCTGAGAGGATGTAAGAGGTATCAGATACAACTGGACTCCGCCACATTAAGCGCATGACTTAGAATTCCTGTACGTTACAATTCCCTGTAGGCATACCTCCTATTCCCTTTACTGTGCTTCACAGGTGTTGCATTTTTTACGAATGGAAGACCCTCCACCAACAAGAATACAACTCGCTTAACTGCGGGGTAGTCTGGAACCAAACTCTCAACATCTCGGAGGCATGCCTGTCAGTGCCTCAATTTTTAACACTGCAGACCTCCAGGAGACGGTTAAGGCTGACATACTACATGGTAGGCCATCACCTGGCACACAGTAGGCTCTCAAAAAATAAATGTTACGTCTATTCCCAGCCGCTGTGCCTGTCGGGAGAGAAACAGTTTGACTGGGCTTGGGGTCCTCATGCCCCAGCTCTCGGCCTGCCTAAAGCCATGAACCCAATCAGCGTTTCAGGAATAAGTACAACAGGAGGAGGGCACCAGAACACCCAGCATTTGCGCCAGGAGTTTCCTTGACGCGTGGGGCACCATTATCACCACTTTATAGGCGAAGTAACTGAGGCTCAGAGGAAGAATGACTTTATGGAAGTCCCAGCTCCAGGGTCCCTCCGAGGTCTTTCTCCTTCCGTAACTCTAGGACTCGCGCGCCGAAGGAGCCGGGACCCAGACAGGGGCCCTTCCCAGGAGGCTTTGCAGCGCCGCGGGGAACTCTGGGACACAGGTGGACCAACAAATCCAAAGCCAGGGGGCGGAGGAACTACGTCTTAAGCCCGCCGAGTGTCTTCTTCGTCCCTTCTGTGCGCTTACCTTTCCTGGCGCTCCCGCTATCGGGAGCCTCACTAACGCCCGCAAAGGCCGGGAACAGCGCCATGGTCGCAGGCCGCACCGCCGTTCCCGGCTACATAAATGGCGCCTGGCGAGCGGACGCCGGTAGTGAGGCCATCGTGGTCGCGGTGCACTCTGGGAAGTGTGGTTTTCCTGGCGCTCACTCAGGCGGGGCGGGAAGGGAAGGGAAGGGGCGGGGCTGGCAGGGCGGGGCCACTCCCGGTAATTTGGATACCAGCAAGTTTCCGTGAGAATCGTTAAAAAGGCGGAGACTGAGACTTGGAATTGTTCGGAGCGGGAAATGCTAGGAAGTTAGGATTGCAATTCCACCCCTGAACTTCACACCATCACTTACTAACCGGGTTAAGTTAATCAAACTCTCTAAGCTCTAGTTTCCTTGTCTGCAAAAAGTTTAGAAAACTGAATGAGCATATAGGTAAGGTACTTAATTAACATTGTCCCTGAAAAGCACTTAAAAATTAGCTATTATGTGAGTTGTGACTGCAAGTCCAACGGAAAGCCATGTGGGATATCCAAATTTCAATAAGTTTACCATGTTAAATATCTTAGAAATAGCAAAAAAGAATGCAAGGTCATATCAAGTTCAAGTCTTTGCTAGTTAGAAAATACATTTACCCACCTATGAAGGATGCTTGACTAAAAGACAAAAAACAAAAAAAAACAAAAAAAAAACAACTAATCAAGCCTGCTAGAAATATAGGGGATTTTTTTTTTTTTTTAAAAAAAGACAATTTAAAGACATCATACCACCTAGACTCAATCAACCAAATCCAGAATATGGGAAATTATAGAAAACAACCCAGTTTCTTCAACAAATCAATGGCACAAGGGGATGGAAGATTGCAATAGATGAAAAGACTTTGGAGACCAAATGCAATACAGTATATGGCCTCATTATTATTCTGATTGGACAAATTGTAAAAAGACCTTTTTTAGGCAAGTGGAGAAATAAGAGGTGAATAAGAGTATTAGATGACATCTAGTAATTCTTAATTCTAGACAAACTACTGGCACTAAGGTTCCTTTTAAAAGTTTTAATATGTTAGAGATACTCTATTATTTGCAGGTGAAAATAGATAAATGAAAATACATTTTTTGGATCCCTGAGAGTTCGAAGATCTTTAGAGTTAGAGAGGAAATGAATTAGGAACCAAAAGATGCAAATCTAATCAAGGAATGGACAGACTCTTGCTGCCCCCAAATGAGCACTGTGTGATCCCAAGATGAGTACCCATCAAGCCTCAAAGGCTTCTACAGAGTATTTTCCAAAGGGACTTAGTAGGGCAGTAGTGGTGGTAAACCCTGCATGTCTGCAACTATAAAACTCAGGTCCTACCAAAATCTCTGCTGTTACCTCAATTAATTGGGGCAGCATCTCCCTCCCTCAGCAGATCAGCTCTGGTTACTGGGATGGTGACAGTCTTCCCCAGGGCTTCATATCTTCCCACTTCAGGAAAATAACTAATAGACAAGGTTTAGGAGAATCAAAACCATAGTTTCTGTAGTAAGAAGAAATCTGGATACATTAGATATTTTCTGTACTACAAATGTGTGTAAGAATTTGGCTTGAGATACTCCCTTATGAGAACAATTTAAAGTGTATGGTTGAGTAACTGAAATAGACTCCTGATTTTAAGTTGAAAGCTTATGAAGCCTAAGCAGAGTTTCAGAACATCTAAAAAAATTCAAAGTTTACCACATTTGGCCCTGGCTTGTGTGGCTCAGTTGGTTGGGAATCGTCCCATACACCAAAAGGTTGTGGGTTCAATTCCCAGTCAGGCACATGCCCAGGCTGTGAGTTCGATCCCCAATAAAGGGTGTGCAGGAGGCAACCAATTGATGTTCTGCTCTCACAACAATGTTTCTCTTTCTCCCTCTCTCTAAAAATCAATAAAATTACTTTTTAAAGAATAATAAAGTTTACCTAATTTGTGAGTATAATTGGGACTTTATAAAAATTAATACTTGAAAAAGATTGATATATTGTCAGGTGGTAACTGAAGTACCTGAAAAGGAAAGAAAATGTATTCAATATATAACTTTATATGAAATGTATAAATTCCAGCAGAGGTCAGCAAACATTTTCTTAACGGGTCAGGTAGTAAATATGTTAAGCTTTGCGGGCCAGAAGCTCTCTGTCACAACTATTCAGTTGTGCCATTTATTGGGAAAGCAGCCATCTACACTAATAAAAGAGGAAAATGGTAATTGGCGTACGGCGATACCCTTTTCATTGGCTAATCAGGGCTATATGCAAATTAACTGCCAACTAAGATTGGCAGTTAACTGCCAACTAAGATTGGCAGTTAACTGCCAACAAGATGGCGGCTAATTTGCATATGTAGGCACAATGCAGGGAGGCGAAAGGGAAAGCAGGAAGAAGCCCCCTGCCACTGACAGTGATCGGAAACCCAGGGGGGAGCTAAGAGCTGGGGGGCAGGGCAAAGGCGGCCCCAGGCCGCCTTTGCCCTGCCCCCCAGCCATGATCGGAGAATCAGGCGCCTTTGCCGCCCTGGCCAGTGATAGCAGGAAGTAGGGGTGGAGCCAGCGATGGGAGCTGGGCACAGTCGAAGCTGGCAGTCCCAGGAGCTAGGGGTCCCTTGCCTGGGCCTAAAGCGAAGCCCATGATCGCGGCGCCCCCCGCTGCCACTGCAGGTCCCCGCTGCCCGGGCCGACGCCGGACGCCTAGGCCAGAGGCGTTAGGCCTGGGCAGGGGCGGAGCCTGCAACCACGGGGAGCTAGGGGTCCCCTGCCCAGGCCTGACACCTCTGCCGGAGGCCTCAGGCCTGGTCAAGGGGCCGACCCGGTGATTGGTGATCGGAGGGTGATGAGGGTCAACTCCTCTGGCCGAGGCATCAGGCCTGGGTGGGGGGCAGAGCCGGGGACTGGGGGGATATGATGGTCCCCTTGCCCAGGCCTGAAGCCTGGGTCAGAGGCGTCAGGCTTGGGCGGGGGGTGGAGCAAGCGATCAGAGGGAGATGGGGGTCCCCTGCCCAGGCATGATTCCTGGGCCAGAGGCCTGGGCGGGGGCCAGAGCCAGTGATCGGGGGGAGATGGCGGTCCCCTGTCCAAGCCTGACACCTCTGGCGGAGGCGTCAGGCCTGGGCAAGGGGCCGATCAGGAGATCGGAGGGTGATGGGGGTCAACGCCTGAGGGCTCCCAGTATGTGAGAGGGGGCAGGCTGGGCTGAGGGACACTCTCCCCCCCACCCCACACACCCAGTGCACGAATTTCGTGCACCGGGCCCCTAGTTCTATATAATAAAAGCCTAATATGCTAAGTGTCCAGTCATCTGGTCGGCCATTCAAGCAATCAAAGCATAATATGCTAATGATATGCTACGGCAGCTCAACTGCTTATTATGATGTGCACTGACCACCAGGGGGCAGACACTCCAACAGGTAGGTGAGCTTGCTTCTGGGGTTTGGCCAATTGGGACTGAGTGAGATGGGCTGGATATGCCCTGGAGCCCTCCCGTGGTCCCTCCCCAGCTGGCCAACCTCCTGAGTCCCTCCCTGGCCCCAATCATGCACCGGTGGGGTCCCTCAGACTGGCCTGCACCCTCTCGCAATCCAGGCTGAGGGTCTCCCCACCCCCGAGTGCACGAATTTCATGCACCAGGGCTCTAGTAGATAATAAATATATAAATGAATGGACATGGCTGAGTTCTAATAAAAAGTTATTTATAAAAACAAGTAGCAAGCCCTAGGCTATAGTTTGCCAACCCCAAAGGGCCTTCTATTAAACTGGGCAGCCTTTATAAATTGAAACAAACAGTATTCAAGACCCCTTGAAATTATTGCTAAATTTTATAGACTTAAAATTTTAAGCAGAACTTGAACATTTAAGGACATCGTTCTTCAATTAAAACATTTATTATTACATAGCCAACTAGTTTTGCTGTTAAAATTTTATTTTTTATTGTTAAAATTTTATAGGCATTATAGTGGTGTTGTGGTTATATGTTTCTTAAAGAGTCCATACTTTTTTAGAAGTACATACTAAAATATTTGCAGGGGAAAAGGTATGATGCCTAGGATTTGCTTCAAATACGGGAGGGAGTTCATGGGTGGAGGTATGGTTGAAACAAGGTTGACCATAAATTAGTAATGTTGAAGCTAGGTAATGTGTTCATGGGGGTTCATACATTATTTGGAACTTTTTTGTTAGGTATGTTTAAATGTTCCATAATACAGAAATTTTAGACTAAAAAGTTTTAAGTTTTTTAAAGCATAACAATAAATAGGAACAAACTACTGATACAACAACATGAACGAATCTCAAAATCTGTATAATCTGGACCAAAAAAAAAAAAAAAAGCCAGACACAAAAGAGTGCTTACTGTATGAATCTATTTCTATAAAATTCTAGAAAATGCAAATAAAAATGTAGTGACAGGAAGCAGATCAGTGGTTTCCTGGCTCCGGGAGCAGAGGCGGGGAGCCGCTCTTTGAGGTGATGGAAATGTTTGTTATCTTGATTGTAGTGGTTGTGGTTTCATGGCTGTGTAACCACCTGGTTTTTTAAAAGCTTGAAAACACACTAAGGTTTTGAATTTGTTGTTTTAATAAACGGAACACCAATCTTTTAAACCAGGGATCTGGAAAGGCCGACATGGTAAATATTTTAGACTTAGCAGGACATAAGATCTCTGTGGCAACTACACTGATATTTGAATTTCATACAGTTTTCACATGTCTCAAAATATTACTCGCTTGCTCCATTTTTTCCGACATTTATAAATGTAAAAACGATTTTTAAGTCATGAGCCATACAAATTGGAGTGGGCAGATTTGACCCAGGCCATAGTTTGCTGGACTCCTACAAACTTTTTGCCATTAGACAAAACTAAAAGTAAACTTTTGAATAGTCTTTTCTATATAGGAAAAACCATTCAGAAGGCACAAAACAGCTCACTTTATTATTATTATTATTATTATTATTATTATTATTATTAGAGTCCTGGTGCACGAAATTTGTGCACCGGTAGGGTCCCTAGGCCTGGCCGGTGATCAGGGCTAATCTGTGGGGCGATTGAAGGACCACCCTGGCACCCGCCTTGGCCGGCCTGGTGCAACCCGCCTGGGGGCCCCACCCCCCACCGCTGCTGATCACCTCCCTATGCGGGAGGCAACTGGCGGTGTGATCAGGGGGATGCAGGGGGCGATGCCACCTGCTCGCCGCCCGGCCCCACCCCCTGATCACCCCACCGCCCCAGCCCCCTGATTGCCCCACTGCTGCCATGGGTTGCCTCCCTCTGTGGGGTGACCAACAGGGCGACCAGGGGGCCCCCGCTGGCACCCACCTTGGCTGGCCTGGGGCCTGTGGACTGGGGGCAGCTCCTGCTTTGGGCATCTGTCCCCTGGTGGTCAGTGTGCATCATAGCGACCGGTCGTTCCAATGGTCGTTCTGCTGTTTGGTCAATTTGCATATTAGGCTTTTATTATAAGGGATTATTATTATTATTATTATTATTATTATTATTATTATTATTTCACCACACAGACACCGTGGGTATTTTTAGTGGCTGTGGCAGGGATTTCTTAGAATAAACCAAAAATGGTTTCAAATTATGACTTGGCTTTGTACATGGCTTGACAAAAGGAAGAGCATGCACTACTCAACCACTTTTAAGTATTTCTATTCTTTGTGGCAGAGATTACTCATCTAAATTGGTAAGATGCTATTCTAGCATCTATCTCACTTTCTAGTGCATTCTAATTTAGCTTGCATCTCTCTCACAGATCTTTATTGAGGAAAGAGAGAGAGAGAGAGGTAGAGAGAGAGAGAGGTTTATTGTTCCACTTATTTATTCATTCACTAGTTGTTTCTTTTATGTGCTCTGACTGGGGATCGAAGCCACAACCTTGGCATATCAGAATGATGCTCTAACCAACTGAGCTACGGGGCCAGGACCCTGTCTCACAGATCTTGATTACCTCTAGACACTGACAAGAGTGAATATTTTCTCTGAAGCTGGAGGAAGAAAACCTGTAAGAAGGAAAAGTGGGAAGGAGAAATTGTGCACGAGAGATGTGTGACAAAGGCCTTTATTTTAGTAGCAAAGGAGTTGGGTGAGAGATGGTGAGGTACAGTCTTGATCTCAGTAAAGTAGGCAGCCAGACTGGCCATGGTGAATGCAAAGGAGGTAGGCATGATTAGGGGCTGAAAACTATAGGAAAAGGCCTTTAAGTAATGTCACGGAGGACTCAATGTGAACAAAAGGATTGCCAAGAGGCAGTCAGACACATGGACAGTTAGGTGCTCAGTACTTGTTTGTTGGCAAAATAGCATCTACATAATTCCCATTTACTTTTGCAGGATATAGAAAAAAGAATAGGTAGTGAACACTTTTTTGGTTAATTAGTTTAATTTTTGCTTTAGCACCCTGTTTTCTGAATTTACAATGTGGTCATGTTAGTGCAATGAGCCCTCACTCTCCTGGCACCATCTGATTGGTTGGTCAGGGTAACTATGTGACTCAACTCAGCCAAGTTTTCAGGCTGTAGGTGCTCAGTCTTGGCTCTGAGGCAAGCCAGGCCACGAAAACTTCTCTTCCAGGAACTCTGGAACCAGAACTGAGAAAGAGAAGCTACACGGTGTCTCTTATTGTGTCTGGACTGCAGGATGTAATAGCCCAGGAGGTAGTGGAGGAGCAGAGGAAACCTGCCTGTGGAGGGAAGGGTGAAAGCCGATGTCAGTTGGAGAAGAGGGTCCCAGAAATTCTGGAACGCTAATTCCAGTTGTCCCTGGGGCCTCGTTCCTATGCTTGGATTCTGAGAAACGTCCCAATATCCTTATGATACATTCCCCATTTCCATTGAACAGATTCAAGTTGACTTTCTGTCATTTACAACCAAGAGTCCCAAATAATACAGAATGACAACGTGAGTGAATGAGTAAATGACACCATCTCCACCCTCGGAGGTCTGGATCCCAGTGTCTGGAGGTGTTCCAACTAGTTTCAGGGGTGAACGAGACTCTTAAACTGGTCTACCCAGAACATGTAAAAGCAGACTCCTTTCATCTTAAGAGGGAAAGAATCCTCACCCACCAACTGAGGCAACTGGAGAAACTGGTCTATCGACTCATTCCATCTTAAGGAACTTTCTGGTAACCCCTATGAAGTAAAAGAAAGAAAATGTGCCTTTGGAGACAGGAGATACCACAAGAAAATAAAAGAGCCTGAACCACTTCATCGGTATGATCAGCATTCCTTTTTACTTATTTATTTTTTTGAAGTGGGTGGTGAGGAGGGTAGAACTGTCTTAGGTTGGAAATGCCTTACTATGTAGACACAATCCCAAGTGGTAGTTCTTTAGCCATAGCTAAACTAGCCTATTTGTGCCTAATCACAATTCATGTACTCAAGAATCTATCTGAAATATGTATGTATTTGAAATATTGTATAGAAATGAGCATCAGCAACAACACCTGATAATGATATCATTTAGAATCTTTAAAATCTTCAGGAGATGCCCTGGCCGGCGAGCACAGTGGTTAGAGCGTTGGCTCCTGCATCAAAGGGTCTCGGGTTTGAATCCCAGTCAAGGGCACATATCTGGGTTGCAGGTTCAATCCCCACCCTGGTTGGGGTATGTACAAGAGGCAACCAATCAATGTGTCTCTCTCATATCAGTGTTTCTCTCTCTCTCCCACTCTCCCTCTCCCTTCCAATCTCTCTAAGAATCAATGGAAAAAATATCCTCGGGTAAGGATTAACCAAAAAATAAAATCTTCAGGAGGAAGTTCACTCCGGTTTGCTCTCCTCTAAGGAGGGTTGTGTGCTCAGGTTGAGGGCATTTTTTAAATGCTTTGGATCAAAGGGATTTTAACAAGAGTTTTCAAAGGTTAAATGCAGTTTCTTGGGTAGCTTACTCTGAAACTAACACTTCTTCCCAAAATGCCCAGCTTTTGTTGTGATTGGAGTTCTTCCAGAAAGGGATATATGTTTTATGAGTTATGTTGATAATGAAAGAGATCAACGAAACAACATAAATCCTTTATTTTTAAAAATAATTGTTTAATAAGTAAATAGTTAAATCTTCACCATTCAAGCTGCCTTTCTTTGACAGGAAAGTGGCCATTTAAGAACTGATTTGATTTTAGTCTCCATTTAAAAACCCTTTTATCTGGTTGACTTTTGTCTTTCTGGCAGTTCTCCTAAGTGTGGGGCGGGAGTGGCTGGTTTATTTCCTCCCCCTTCATTCCCATCTGCACCTCTCTTCTCACTGCCTCCTCTCATTGCCAAAAAAAGCAAACGTGTGAATCTTCTCACCTGTAAACTTCCAGTTGCAGGTGGAAGTACCTAAGTTAAATTGATTTCACCTTTGCCTACCTCTTTAGGAACACAGAGAGGAACTATCCTCTCCTAATTTTAAGCATGCAATACATGCTTGATACAGAAAACGTTTTAAAAGCAGGGACGTATAAAGAAGATGGGCAATAATCACCCAATTTCCATTACCCAAAGATGAATACTGTTTTGGAGTATTTCTACATAGGCCTTTTCTTTCTTTTCTTTCTTTCTTTCTTTCTTTCTTTCTTTCTTTCTTTCTTTCTTTCTTTCTTTCTTTCTTTTATGCTTGTTGGGTGTCTTAGTTTATATATTTTTTCATCATGGTTGTGATTGCTTTTCTTCCAAGTACAATAAATACACAAGCATCTCTCTGTTTTAATACAAATCTCATAAACATGTTTTATATGTAAAGGGTGTCCCAAAATTCACGCAAGAAGTAATTTTGATAGAAAACACAGGTTTATAATTAAAAAATATTAATTTTTTATTGATTCGTAAAGTATACAGTATAGGGTTATGTATGGAATAGCATATCGGGTAAATGGCCTCCACGGCTTTGCTGGCACATACACACTCTTTTGTTGAAATTTTCCATGACCGTTTTGCATAAATGTGGCTGAATTTCGATGAGGCTTATTTTCATCTTGATGGCTTGGTTAATCGACAAAATTGTCGCATTTGGGGTTCAGAAAATCCACGAGTGATTGTTGAGAAAACAAAGGTAGGCAGAGGGAATAGCATGTGCAGGGTCTACAACAGCAAGGTGTGTTCAAGGACGCTCAACCCGGGCACTGAAATGAGAGAGGATGGGGTGAGCTGGGAAGAATGGCTGGGGTAGGACCTGAATTCCGTGTGTTGTACGACAGAGAATTTGTCTGGTCTTTGTCCCTGGTTCTTCAGAGGGAAACACCAAATCTTTGGAATTTCCTGAGTGATTCTTTATTACTTATGGTGGGTCCCTGACCACACCTGAGTTTATGCTAACAATACGACTCAGGATGTGGACTCCCCACGGACCATGTGATTAGAAGGTTGGGGTTTTGAGCCAGCTGACCGCTAGGCAGTGGACGGGGGCTGGAGATGAAGTTCAATCATGCCCACATAATGAAACTCCCATAAAACTCGAGACACCAAGGCTCCGGTGAGCTTCCTGCTTGGTGAGTGCATGAGTGTGCGGGTGGGCGGTGCGTCCTGATTCTACAGGTAAAGTGCACAGAAGCCCAACATCCAGGACGCTCCCCGACCTCGCCCTATGTGTCTCTTCATGTGGCTGGTCCTGATGTGTAACCCTTTCTCATTAAACTATCACCGTGAGTATACCACTTTCCTGAGAGTTCTGTTTATCAAATGTTCTAGCAAAGGAGCATACCTTAGGTAACTGACCAAATTTGTAGCCAGTTGGTCAGAAGTGTGGGTAGCCTGGGGATCTCTGAACTTGTGCCTGGCATCTGAACTGAGAGCAGTCTTATGAGGGACCGTGCCCTTAACCCATGAGTCTGTGCCAACTCCAGGTGATCTGCAGAGGAATCACATAGCAATTATTGCACCATTCTAAGGTGTTTGGATCTTATTTTGAAGGAGTTTAAATACGGGAAATATCAACTATTAGAAAAATCACTCTGTGGACGTACAAAGAATGGGTTAGACAGGAAGGAATATGAAGGAGGGGGGTCATAGATTTCTGAAGATCAGGCAGAAACAATAAACTGTCCGACATACAGCATCAGGAGTGAAGATGAATTGCCATCATCTCTGAAAGAAGTGTGTGAAGGGGCAGATCAAAGAGCAGCATCCCCATGGGTTGGTTCTGCCAGGGTGTGTCCAGCCTGTGGTGGAAGGAAGGCAGCAGTTTATTGGAAACATCACCTTCAATGATCCAAAAGCTAAAAGATTTATATCTTCTATAAAAAAGACTAACAAGATACATTTTCCTTTTGAGTCTGTGGGAAGAGTTTAAAGATGTTGAATAATACAGCATATTATTGTGTGCTCACCCCTGTCCCCAATTTAGCACATATTAACATTTTCTTCTTTTTCCTTAATTTATTCTATTTGTGCTTATTTGTTTTTTATTATAAATCAATGGTTCTCACTGGGGGCTGGGGGAGTGGCAATTTTCCTCTCCAGGGGACATTTGGCAACGTGTGGAAATATCTTCTGTTGTCATAACTGGGGAGTGGCACTGAAGCTAGTGGACAGAGCCCAGGGATGCTGCTAAGCATTCTACAATGTACAGGACAGCTCAAGAAAGAATCATCAGGCCCCAAATGTCAAGAGTGCCGAGCCTGAAAAACCCTGATTTAAAAGAAATAAATTATAGAAAAAATGGAAATCCCTGTGTACCCACTGAGAAAGGGAGAGGAGATTCAACTCTCCTCCCTTTACTCTCCTTTATTCACTGTGGTAGAAAATAAGATCAGGAAAAGCCATTTCCAAAAATAAGATTAGATACAGGGCTAGGCTTGTTTCAGCCCTGACCAAAATATAATGTAACAAACACTCCCTCCTTCATTCGGTCCCTTTAGACACAGCCACCGGGAGTCCATCCTGCAAGATCTTCTACAGAATATAGTATGAGTTTAACACCTGTTGGAATAGTCACCAAAGGTAGGCTTATTAAACAAAGATGACCTATTTCAAATCATAGTTTTATAAACAACTTATAAGAATTTTAGGTTAATTAACCCAAGAATTTGAGATACTGACATGATGCTTCAATGCAAGAAAAAAATTAATCAACTGAAATAAGTGAAAGTTACTGAAACAGATGGAAAAAAAGCTTGTTTTTTTATTTAAAAAAAGAACACTAATATTTTTCAACTACATGCTAAGTACCATCCTCTACACTGGTGATAAAATATCATCTCAGGTGAGGGAAACATCACTTAAGATGCCTTCAAGGATCTCATAATCCAGAATGAGAAGCGCACACATTAGCAGATAATGTTCATGAGATGATGTGGTGGGACGATGGAAGAGAAATTTTTTCAGTATAATTGCAGCAGCAATGAAATAAAAGACTCAACTGGTAATAGCAACACTCTTTTCATCACACCCGAGCTATGGTTTATAACCATGCAATATGAGCTGAGAATGCCATTTAAATAGTCAAGTAAACTTGCCCTACCAGATTTAAAATATATTGCTGTAATAGTCCACAGTAATTTGAATGGTATGGAGTTGGTTTAAAACAAGGTAGACATAATAGCACAGAATACGGAGTACAGAAACAGAACGTACTCCATCATCTGTATGGCATTTCAAATCAGCGAAGAGATAATGATCTCAAAATAAATTTTAATTCAGAGGAAAAATGTTATTATAGCCCCAGTTCTCCTTAATACCAAATAAATTCTAGTTGGGTCAAAGATTAAATATTTTAAAAACACATGCAAAAACAAAAAAATGTATAGGTATTTTTTACATCTTGGGGCAAATAAGATCTTTCTAAACATGACACCAAAGCTAGAAATTCTGAAAAGAAAATGTTGATAGAGTTTACTAAATTAAGGTTTTTTAAACTTCCAAACTATGAAAAAAAACCTGTCAAAACAAATATAAAAAGTGAAGCAACAAAAAAATGTTTAAAATCTACGTCATCTGAATACCTGAAAACATATAAAGATCTCTTATAAATAAGAAAAATATGACTCTCCCCCATAAAAATGGGAACATGAAATGAAAATGCAATTCACAAACCAAGATATGCAAATAATGTGGAAAGATATTGTTCTTTTTAATAGTCAAAGAAATGCAAATTTCACCACAATAAATGATAGTGAAAATTTAAAAGACTGAAAATTCCAGTATGTGCAGAAGACATATATACACTGAGAGTGGGAAAATAACTGGGTAGAAACCTACTGGATAGGAATTTGGTAATATGTGTAAGAAAGTCAAAGGAGAAAATAATAAAGGCAGGTAGAGGGGGGAAGGAGACGATACAGGGAATACTTTTGAACTAACGTGTCCTTTTCTAGGAATTTACCTCAAATATGCATCTGTTGTGTTTATAATGGTGGGTTAGTCTGCTATGGATGCCATAACTAAAAAACACAAATTGCGCCGAAACCGGTTTGGCTCAGTGGATAGAGCGTCGGCCTGCGGACTGAAAGGTCCCAGGTTCGATTCCGGTCAAGGGCATGTACCTGGGTTGCGGGCATATCCCCAGTAGGAGATGTGCAGGAGGCAGCTGATCGATGTTTCTCTCTCATCGATGTTTCTAACTCTCTATCTCTCTCCCTTCCTCTCTGTAAAAAATCAATAAAATATATTTTAAAAAATAAATAAATAAAATTAAAAAAAAATAAAAAACACAAATTGTGACTTAAACAACAGACATTTATTTCTTGGAGGCTAGAAGTCCAAGATCAAGGTGTTGGCAGGGCTAGTTTCTGGTGAGACCTCTTCCTGGCTTGCAGACAGCCAGGTCTTTTCCCTGTGTCCTCACATGGCCTTTGCTCTGGTGTCTCTCCTCTTAATATAAAGATGCCAATAATATTGGAATAAGGCCTCACCCTTATGACCTCATTGAACCTTACAGTCACACTGAGGTCTTCAACATGAATTCTGGAGGAACATAACTCAGTCCATAACAAACAGTGAAAATTAAAAACAACCTAAAGTTCTATACAGTAAAATGTTATGCAGCCTTAAACTGGAATTGGTTTAAGTGATGAAATCACCCTGGCCAGTGTGGCTTTAGTTGGTTGGGCGTTGTCCCGTGCATCAAAAGGTGGCTGGTTCGATTCCCAGTCAGGGCACATACCCAGGTTGCTGGCTTAATCCCCAGTAGTGGGTGTGGAGGCAACTATCAATACCTATCAATGTTTCTCTCTCCCTCTGCTTTCCTCCCTTTAAAATCAATAAAAAACGCATTTTTTAAAAAAGTAACGAAACCGATTTATACTTATTAATATGGAAGCTGCTATGATATGACATGTTTCTTAAAGGTTTTAAAACAATAGGCTTAGTATGAACACACTTGTGGGAAAAATATATTATATGTATATTTGAAAAATAAAGTTTATGCATCCCAAAGTAAACAAGGTAACATCTAGGCAATGGAGTTGTGGAAAATATATGCATTTAACTTTATATTATAGTGCATAATATATAATGAATATTCTTACCTTTATAATAAAGGAGAAAGAAGTTATTTACAAAAGGACAGTTCAGTCCCAAATTTATTTCTTCCAGGATTATTTAAATAAAGTTCAATTTCTGATTACTAATTTTGCATAAATAATTGCAAACTATGAGCCAAAGTGGCTCTACAGGGTGCACCAGCAAAGAGGCCACCGTCATGAGGCAGATTATAAGCTTGAGTGCAAGTGATTCATTTGGGGGGAAATTATGAACTTAAATAAATATTAACTAATAGAATTTATGGGTGTACTTAGTGGACACTTGGCAATCATTTTATTAATTTGATCATGTTAGCCTGTCAAACTAGATAATTTAAGCCAAAAGGCCCTATTAGACAAATATAGAATAATATACTAACAAATTTCAGACACAATTCATTCTCTTTTTAGCAGCTCGGAATCCAGTGCTCAACTTCAACATCAACCACACAGAATTCTGGGGGTAAATCCACTTGACAACTAGGAAAAAACCAACACAACAGTCTATGTTTGTTTAGCTCCTGATTGGTTTACCAACTAATCCAGTCCTCAGAGTGACAACTTTTTCCTTTTAGTGAAAAATCATCTCAGTTTGCTCCTTATTTTGAGTTAGATTTTGTATTTAAAAAATAAAAATTCAGCCCTGGCAGGTAGCTCAGTTGATTAGAGCGTCGTCCCCATACACCAAGGTTGCGGGTTTGATCCCTGGTCAGGGCACATATAAGAAGCAACCAATGAATGCATAAATAAAAGTGTTTCTTTCTCTCTCTCTCTCTCTCTCTCTCTCTCTCTCTCTCTCTCTCTCTCTCTCTCTCTCTCTCTCTCCAATAAATAAAAAAAGTATTTAAAAATTTTTTAAGCCTAAATTCAAGTCAGATCCTTCAAATTTGAAGAGCTCAGCAATGAAATGTCTGGTGACAGTGGTGACAGTCATTCAGACTAAGCAACACTCCCAGTTTGGTTTGCCATTCTGCATCATTAGTGATGCCTGTGTTGTAGGCAGAATTCCGTAACACAGCTTGATTTGCCTAAACTCGAGAAACACTTCTCTCCCTGTTAGATGGGAAGGTGGCATCAAGGGTGGAATTCATCTCCTGATTTGTCACTATCTTCAGAAGTTTGGCTCACTGATTCATCAGAACAAGTGAAGGCATGATGTCTTCCAACCTCTCTTGAGCTGATCAGGCAGCTGATGGCAACCTTGCACGGTCCTTCAGCATATGGGTTGCATAATCTATGGGGGATTCTGCAGAATATGTTGATAATGACTTCCTCTGACATTCCAGTTAATTATCACTATTGATTCTTTAATACTTAAAAAATACATGATGCTTAATTTGTTCATGAATCAGTGGTTTAATAAATGCCAGTGTATACATTAAATTATGTTAATGTTTAATATCTTTTATGAGCAGTCAAGAGTACATTAAAAATTAAAATAAAATTAATTCCCACTTTCCCATTCTTACACTGTAGGTAATGTTATTTTACACTGTACAAATTGATGTTCGGTATTTGGAATTAATGAACTTTGTGATTTGTTTACTGCCTGGGGTGTTATTCATTACTTTTTCAATTACTGTAAAACTTTATACATCACAACATGAGACCCTAAGCAATCAGATAAACAGTGCTAGGGAGTTTTTCCTTTTAAATGGGATCATGTAATAAAGGCAGAAGACTAAATTAACATCTCTAATATGCCAGCCAGAGACACTGGGTTTCTCATCGGTGGGCTTGCGAAGAACCTTCCAGAAGTGAACCTTTCAGAACCAGGATGCTCAGGAGAACCTGGTGTCCTGCCCTTGAGCAACTGAAAAGTCACGGTTTTGTCGCCCACAGCACTCAAATGCAAGGTTCCCTGGGACCCAGTGCAATAGCTAGAGGCAGCTGAGATTTTGAAAGTACTGCCATGTCATATCAGCCTACAAACTTTCAGAACTGCCAGGCCCTAAATGTGTCCATGTGTTTGATTTTTTTTTCATATTTCTTTTAGTAAGCACGGACAAGATTCCCAGCACTGCCCTGAGTTCTAAGGGCTGAGGGAACATACAGAGATGACACCGCCCCCCCCCCCCCACCTTAGGGTTTGTTTGTTTGTTTGTTTGTTTCATCTCCTGGAAACCCTGTGTCATTCCCAGGAGGGGCACCCCATGTAGAACATCACCCCTGCTGGGAAACTCACAGGGAGGCAAGGAAAGGTTAGAGGGGGCCTCACTGAGCTGCTCCCACAATCACAGGAGAGGGAGAAGAGCAGGGGGGAGTGAAGAGAAGCCGTTGGCAAGGTGACAGAAGCAGCACATGGGCTCAGTGGGAGTCCAGGTTGCACACCAGCGAGCCAGCTGGAGGAGGTAAATACACAACCAGGAGGGCCCAGGCTTCCTCCAGCAGCTCAGCCCACTCTGCCTGCTGACCCTCAATGTGCCAATAGGAGGGGGAGCTTATCACTTGGTACGAGGGATCACTATTCAATGGCAAGAATGAAGGCAGGAAGGAAAGACCTCTCACCTCCACAAAAAATAGACCTGATGACAAGTTGCTGCATTACTAATGCCCCAGAGGCGGGGGAGCCTGTTGGCTACTGGGGCTGGGACCAGGCCACACAAAACACCAGAAGGAAGCTGGTGGGAGCTGTGTAACTAATGAGCGTTTATTGGTCCTTTGCAAAGTTATACAAAATGCCCATCGCACAAGGAAACATCAAACTCTAATTGTAGGCATTTTATTTCTGTATCAAACATATAACAGAATCTCCGTTTCCTAGAATTTTCCTAATTAGTCCGTTCTGGCATATCTTAGCCATTCTGTGCTCACCCCTTTGGTTATCCTGGATTGGAACAGGTCCTCCCAGTGCCATGGCCTCCTCAGTCACAGGGATGGTCCCAGTTCACTCGTCTGTCGTATAAGCATCTATCTGGGCTGAGCCCTCACTTCTTATCCCCCAACCTGCTCCTTGCTTATAGCCTTTCCGAGACCCTTGGACCTCTGATGGCTTCTCTGGGCCTTAACCCTTCTTCCTGCTCCTCCTTAATTTAAACCCATTCCATTTATGAGGCCTGTACAGGCCCCTCTAGGAGCCCCTTACCCAGGGCGGGTCTCCGCAAGCCAGCCCAGTCCCTCCGACTGAGCTGACCAAGGCAGTTGTGGATAATTTGCTTTTTGGAGCCAAGGAAAAAAAATCTTTTGCTTCAACACTTCCAAAGACCCCCTGATTCTTCCTCGATGGTGAGGGAAGGTGTGGACCTCAGGGTCTTCATTCCAAACATCAGTGAAGGCTCCAGAGTTGTGGTTCACCCCAAAATGTGGCTCCTCAGATAATAGGACCAGACACTGGACTCCTTGGCTTGAGTCACCTCTCTCATCATTTGATGTTTTCTGATAAGGGACAATACTATAAAATTAAACAAGCAATAGTGTTCCAGTAGTTGCAAGTTCTGGGGAGTGGAGTTCTTTTAGGCCGGTTATAAGTATCTATAAAATGTCCCCAAAGCTATATAGCCCCTGGGAAGTAAAGATGACTTAGGGCCTCTGAAACTGCCACAATTATTTTGTTAAATAAATCATGGTCCCCAGAAATACCCGGATAATTCAGGGATAATCTTTAGAACCTGCCTGTGGTGACCTCATTGTAGTGAATAGAATGTGGGTTCTGAGAAGTCAGGACTAGTGTTCAGTTCCAGGGCAGTTCGTGGCTATAGTGCAGTGATGGCGAACCTATGACACCTCTGACACGCGAACTCATTTTTTTGGTTGATTTTTCTTTCTTAAATGGCATTTAAACATATAAAATAAATATCAAAAATATAAGTCTTTGTTTTACTATGGTTGCAAATATCAAAAAATTTCTATATGTGACACGGCACCAGAGTTAAGTTAGGGTTTTTCAAAATGCTGACACGCCGAGCTCAAAAGGTTCACCATCACTGCTATAGTGTCTTCAGTCCCAGCTGGACCCACGCAGTCCAGGGACCACCAGACCCTGTGGGAAGGTGGCAACAGGCTGGGAAAGTGACCAAAGGAGGGCTCAGGGATCTGCCCCACTGCAGTCTCTGGAATAGGTGTGCCGCTTGCCCCAGCTGGAGGAACTAGTGAATTCCCAAAGCTGAACGTCAGAGCGCCGATTTCTCGAATATAGTGGGCAGCATCCTGGATATTTTGGGAACCACCCATATCATTTCCCTTCTCTCTCCTGGGAGAGCAGTCTACATCTACACATCGGTTCCCAGGAGATCAATCTCCAGAAGCCCCGTGAGTACAGGTTACAGGGTCAAGGTCCTGCTGCTTCAGCTGCCAGCTCAGGTGATGAGGCAGAGAGCCAGAATCACAGAGGCCGTTATGTGGATTTACACTGCTGCCATGGCAACACACAGACACCATGAAAACGACTGTGAAAAGTTTAGCCATCTTGATGTATCTGTTCATCTTAAGCTTATTTCAACTATCACTTTAAATGGTCAGCTTCTAACCTGATCTGATTCTTGCAACTTGTGTTTGATTTTTAAGCTTAAAATATTAATGAAATGATTTACTTAGGAATTCACCTGGTGTCTATTTTTTTTTTAATGTATGGTTTTTGCAACAGCAATCCCAAACTCTTGAAGGACTGTTTACTTCCTTTATTTTTATTTGTAAAAAATATATTTTTATAATCTATTTTTATTGATTTCAGAGAGGGAGAGATAGAAACATCAATGATGAGAATCGAGCCTGCAACCCGGGCATGTGCCCTTGACTGGAGTCGAACCCCCACCTTTCAGTCCACAGGCCGACGCTCTATCCACTGAAACAAACCAGCTAGGGCTACGCCTCCATTATTTATTGATTGCTTTCTGCTTTTTTTGTTAACCCAGGGAGGTCATTCATTCTCAAAATGTAAACTCTTGCAATTGAATCGAATGACTCAGATCTCCGCCCCCACCACCACACACTCCCGCCCCCCGCCCTGCCCCCAGGCAGGCCATGCGGCCAGGTCTCTCCTCAGAGCTCCAGATACCTGTACAGCTGCCGAAAGCACATCTCTACGTGTCCACATGTCCTGTTGTATGAAACAAAACCTGTTCCCTTCTTTCCCAACTGACTTCCTTTTCCAAGTCTCCTATTGACTTCTATCAGCTACACTGTGCAAATATTCCTGTTTCCTTTGGGGATCCCAAACCCATTTATTTCATCACCCACTGGGTCCCATGAATTATACATAGTGTCATCACTTCCTGGGTAAATGAGTGCATATTTTTCTGGGGAGAAGACCTCCCAAGTTTTCATTCTATTCTCAAAGGGTCTATGATCCTCTCCTCCTCCAAAAGGATCAAAATGGTCTGTCATTTAATCAATGCTATCATTATGTTACACTTTATATTAAAACAGTCCCTTAGCTGAACCCCTTGCCTGTTCTCCTTTCAATCCATCTGTACACTGACGTCACCCACTATTTCTTCAGTCAAACACAAGTGCTAATGGCTTCAGTTCTCTCTCCCTCCTCCCAGTCTGAAGGGTTCCCAGGAGCTGGGCAGTGCACCCCCACCCCCACCCCCTGCCGACACACACACACACACACACACACACACACACACACACACACACACACAATTTTATTCCTAATTCTCTGTGGCTGCTCTCCTACCTAGAACACCTCCCTTGCCCCTCTCCCCACCTCTAGCCACACCCACATTTTAAGCAAAAGAAGCCTTCCAGACTAAGACCGTCCTACATATAAGAGTTTGGTTTCAGATAGAATACCCATCTGAGTGGGGATGTGGGCCTAGAGGGCTACAGGGCTGAAAACCTTGACTTGAGAGTTGTCTGCACAGAGTTTAAAATCTTGAAAAAAAGACGAGCTCTCGAAAGCTTCAACCTTGAGGATGAAAAGAGCTCTCAAAGGGAGATGAAAGCAGAAAGCACTCAAGTGCTCATTCTCAATTCTACAGCACTTCGGTGCCCGGCCCTGTGCTCCGCAAAGAGTGTCACTCCAACGCTTACAGAATAAATGTGGATGTTACATTGAAAACGTGTCTGATGGGTGGTGCAGGGAGTTGCATAGGGTCAAATTTGCCTGCAAAATATTGTTGCGGGACAGGGAACCTGGTCCTGATCGGGTCTGCCCAGGGCCGGCCAGTATTGTGTCGTTTCTTGATTTCATGCAGGAAAGATTTCACAAGTCCAGGTGATTTTGAGGGTAGGCTTATTAAAATAATAAGCCCTCACTGGGGACAGTGAGACAAGGAAGTGCTTAGTGCAGAGGAAGTAACAGGAGAGGATGAGACGGGCCTCTTTGGCTCACTAGGAAGTCAGAGAAAAGGGGGCCTTGGAGACAGGTTCAGGGGGTTAGCTGTCCATTGCTCCCTGGCTCCTCCTCTTGTGGGGACCCTGAGAGTTTAGAGATGCTGCCAGTGGGGGAAGGTGAAGGGGAAGAGAAAGACATTGTGCATGTTCCCAGGAAGGAGAGCACATGCTGGGTCCTTGGTTTTGAGGGTTTTTACCTGTCTCTTGCAGGCGGGAATCTTAGGGGCGGTCTCAGGGAGGGTTTCAGCAGAATACTCATCAGTTTTCCAGGTGTGCCCTTTCAGGGTCATGGTCTCTAGGGATTGGTCAGCGCCTTAGTCATTGCAGCTGGTCCTGGTGTTGCCCACCTGGTTTTGCTGCTTTTCTGGGCCTGGATCTGAAATACAACAGAGGCCTAGATGTTATCTCTAGGGTGGCGACCTTCTCCAGCTGGCTGTAAGTGGCTTGGCCAGTTTGTTCAGCTCTCTATCTCAGTTTCCCCATTCCACTTGCCAAGGAATGTTTCCAGCTTTTACTATCCTGACTCAATATTTTGAACAAAGTGATTTGCAAAAAATAGGTGAATTATTTCCCTTGTCCTTGCATTAAAAATTGTTATTTATAAAAGCATGATCGTTGATAAACTGTTTAAAGTAGTGCATTAAGTCAAATGACATCCTTAATAGGTGCTCATTAAATATACATCTTTCTATTAACATTTTTCATAGATATGATAATAAAGTACATCTAAAGTGGAGAGAGAAAAAATAGACTTTGAATTAATAATTGGTAAATAATTCTCTCAGGCATTTGCTTAATTACTGTTACTTATGCAACTACCCCAGGCATAATTTTTCAGGAAATTATTCATGTCTTCTTAGCAACACATTTAAACCAATATTATTGGTCTCTAAGTAGTAAATGTGTCCGCAGTTAAGTTAGGTATTTCATATTATGAGTAAGTATTAGTATTAAACTTGGAGCTAAAGAGAGAACAAAAAACGGGCTGGTGCACAGACAAATACATAAGGTCTGTTATTTTTGCAGGCAGCTGAGTTGCCAAATTAGCTGTTACTGGGATGGAAGACCAAGCAGGAAGCGTGTGGCTCCAGGGCTGGACTCCTCTCTCTGCATCAGCAATGCTCACCAATATGACATCCCTGCAATGCTTCATCCTCATCTGCAGAAGGTAATGGATAACAGCAAGGCCTAGCAAGCTCGGTTACTTGCGCCAGGCACACAGTTGCTATGGAGCCAGGCCTCTACCTGACAATCTACTGCCTCCCAAATCTGCAGCCATTTTTGTGTAAGTTTCCCTCAGGACTTAATCATGCCCTTTGGACCTCCATGCACAAGGGCCCTTTAAAAACCTTTCAACGAGGCTTCCTGAAAGCTCCTGAAACCTTCATCCCCAAAGCCGCTACCCACAGCATTCCGCCAGCATTCGGACCACACAGCCCCACTGTGCCCCAAATCTAGCAGAGAATTTCCAAGTAGAAGCCCCAAGGATAACTGCTCCTCTCATTTTACATGTGACAAAACAAGCCTGGAAAATCTAAGAGCTGGCCCAAAACTGTGCGCCTGGTTATGGTGTGGCTGGGCCAGAACTCTGATCTTCTGCCCCCAGAGTAGGCGCTGCTGTGCCCCAGTTCTCCCAGCTGTTAGTGACGTTAGCTAAGTAGAGCTGGCTTTTCAGCAGGTGAAAGCGGGTCCCTTTAGGAGTCCTGAGAAGCATCTGAGACTTTTGTTATTTATTAGAAAGGCATTGCTCCAATTTACTGGAATGTTTCCCTTTTACAAATTGACTCCTGTCCTTGCCAAACCCTTCCCATTGATTTCCTTTGGAAATGACCTACTTTGACACCCTTGACCTTGTTGCCCAGCTGTGGGCGTGGGGATTCCTGTCCTCCAGACTCCCTTGTAAATGTAGTGAGCACTGGCAAAGAATGGGAGGAAAAGGCCGGAGATTCAGAGGTCTTATGATGCAGCCAGCAGCCAAGTCCTTGACCTTCGAGCAGCCTTGGGTGCCTATGCTTTCAGGAAAGGCTTGAAGGTAGCTCAGTGCTAGCGTGGCTCAGAAATGCCCTTCAAAGGAAAAAAAAGAAAGCCTTTCAGCTGGATAAACTTGGGGTAGCCCTTGTCCTGCCTTGTTTCCAACTTAAAGCTCCCTCACCCCTCTCACCCTTCCTCACTGGTTTAGGCAGTTGGCCCAATTTGTCAGCAACCAAAGCAAAGACCATGGGCTGAGCTGACTCACTTAGGAACAGTAATTCCTTTCAGAGAAGAGTCCCCGTTCATTTAGGCACCAGAGCAATTATTTGCTGGCTGACAGTTCTAATTACTTTTTACTGCAGGTAGGTAACTGTTCCAGAAGCCACGCTAATAGGATTACTGGTTTCTGAAGGGCTTTTGGAACAAGTAATTTTCAAGTAGTCAGCTCAGCCTGTTCAGTGAACTTTCCACTCGGGGTAAATTCCTTCCTCTTCGGCTCCTCATGGCAGGCAAGGTGTGGGTCCTTGGATGGGGCACTTTGGAATTCAGGGGTATTCTTCTTCCATGCTCCTTTGTTTGAAAAGGGGACCAGAGCAAATCATGCTTGAAGATTTTTCATGAGCTTGCACCAAATCATTCTTCTAATTTTCAACTGCTCTGGCAGTTGGTATTACATTGTATCAGCCAGCCCACCTTTTTAGCAGTAGTTAGGGTCACTCACCTTCCCAGTCACGGTGTCCCTCCATGCTACCCATTTCTGAAGGGAAGTTGAACAATAAACCCAGAAGACCTTTGAGTTGAGGTTCCCACCAAGATTACCAACTGTTTTAGACTGCAGATAATGATTTCGCAACATGGTTCTCTATTTGATAAGAAATAACCCTTCTGAATGATTACCAACATTTGACTCTATCAGTTGGTTTGACATTTAACAAAGTTTAAAAAGCTCACCCATAATCCGTTGGGAAAACAGCATCTTACTGAGAAGTCATTCAAGGTGTTTTTGCTCTTGTTATTATGACTACTTAAACATTCCCACCTTCTGCATTGCCATCCCCTAGTTAGCTGAACTAGGGTTTTGAGTGGGTCATAATTGTTCTCTTTCTGTCCCCGAGTTGGCCTATCCTGGCACCTGGCCAGGAGAAGGAGAAAATACAAAGTTATATTATTGGGAGAAGACTGGGCCTAATGTGAATCTTAACAGCTCAAGAAGATGCAGTTCTGCTTTTAAGTAGATGAGAGCACTGAGTTCTTGGGAATCAAGAGAGGATGAACTATATAGACTATTTCTTTTTCTGCTTCATTGAAAGATAATTGACATGTAACAGTGTAAGTTTGAGGCATACAATGTGATGATTTGATATCGCAAAATGTTTACCACAGTAAGGTTAGCTAACACCTCCAGTCCCTCACATAATTACCATTTGTGTGTGTGGTAAGCCAACTTCCAGGTATCCTATATAATAAAAGGCTAATATGCAAATAGACCAAATGGCAGAATAACCAGTTGCCATACTGTGCACTGACCACCAGGGGGCAGGTGCTCAACGCAGGAGCTGCCCCCTGGTGGTCAGTGCACTCCCACAGGGGGAGCACCACTCAGCCAGAAGCTGGGCTCATAGCTGGCAAGCGCAGTGGCAGTGGTGGGAGCCTCTCCCACCTCTGCAGCAGTGCTAAGGATAGGTCTCTAGTCTATCCTATATAACTAGAGGCCCAGTACACAAAAATTTGTGCACTCCGGGGGGAGAGGGGGTCCCTCGGCCTGGCCTGTGCCCTCTCGCAGTCTGGGACCCCTCGGGAGATAACGACCTGCTGGCTTAGGCCTGCTCCCGGGTGGCAGAGGGCAGGCCCAATCCCTAGGTGCAGCCCCTGGTTGGGCTCAGAGGAAAGGGCTGATTGGGGAGTTGGGGCGCCGCCCCCTGTCATGCACAGAGCAGGGCAGATCAGGAGGTTGCGATGCCACCCTCAGTCACGCTCAGGGTAGGGCCAATTGGGAGGTTGGGGCACCGCCCCCTGTCACACTCAAGGTAGGGTCGATTGGCACAGAGCAGGGCCAATCGGGGGTTGGGGCGCTGCCCCCTGTCACTCACAGAGCAGGGCCCATCAGGGGCGTTGGGGCGCCGCCCCCTGTCACACACAGAGCAGGGTCGATCAGGGGGTTGAGGAGCTCCCCCCTGTCACTCACAGAGTAGGGCCAATAGGGGAGTTGGGGCACCGCCCCGTCACACACAGAGCAAGGCGGATCAGGGGGTTGGGGCGCCGCACCCTGTCACACTCAGGGCAGGGCCGATGGGGAGGTTATGGCTCTACCCCGTCACACACAGAGCAGGGCCTGTGGGGGGCAGTTGGGGCACTGCCCTCTATCACCCACAGAGCAGGGCTGATCAGGGGGTTGGGGTGCCGCCACTGTCACACTCAGGGCAGGGCAGATGGGGAGGTTATGGCTCTACCCCATCACACACAGAGCAGGGCCCGTGGGGGGGGGGGGCGCCACACCCTGTCACACCCAGAGCCGCAGGGCAATCAGGGGGTTGGGGAGCTCCCCCCTATCAGGCACAGAGCAGGGCTGATCAGGGGGTTGGGGCGCCTTCCCCTGTCAGGAACAGAGCAGGGCGGATAGGGAGGTTGTGGCCCTGCCCCGTCACACACAGAGCCGCAGGGCGATCAGGGGGTTTGGGCGCTGCCCCATCATGATGATCCCGGTGCCGGGAGGCCTTGCGGCTCCGCTGATCCTGGTGCTGGGAGGCATATTACCCTTTTACTATATAGGATAGAGGCCTGGTGCACGGGTGGGGGCCGGCTGGTTTGCCCTGAAGGGTGTCCTGGATCAGGGTGGGGGTCCCCACTGGGGTGCCTGGCCAGTCTGGGTGAGGGGCTAAGGGCTGTTTTCAGGCTGGTGGGTGACTTTTCTTCTTTTTTTTTTATTCTGGGCCGCTTTAGCTCTGAGGCTTGGCTCCAGCTCTGAGGCCTCGGCTGCTGAAAGCAGGTATCTGGTTTGTTTAGGTTTTATAATCAAAACACTGTTTCAACTCCAGCTCTGAGATCCAGGCTGGCTGAAAGCAGGTTTCTGGGGTTTTGTTTAGCTTCTATATTTGTAACAATGTTTCAAACTGCAAGCTCAGAGGCCAGCAGCGGCACGGAGGGAACGTTGGAGTCCTCCGTCACTGAAGCAAGCAAGCCTCATGTTCGCTTGAAGCTGCCTGGCTGCCGGCCACCATCTTGGCTGGCAGTTAATTTGCATATCGCCCTGATTAGCCAATGGGAAGGGTAGCGGAGGTACGGCTAATTACCATGTTTCTCTTTTATTAGATAGGATAAAGCCTAATATGCAAATCGCCTGAACGGTGGAACGACCGGTCACTATGAGGCACACTGACCACCAGGGGGCAGACACTCAAAGCAGGAGCCGCCCCCAGCCCACAGGCCCCAGGCCAGCCAAGGCAGGTGCCAGTGGAGGCCTCCAATTACCCCACCAGTTGCCCCGCAGAGAGAGGCAACCGGCAGCAGCAGGGGGCGGGGCTGGTGAGCCGGCAGCACCAGGCTGGCCAAGGTGGGTGCCAGCGGGCCTCCCCTCCCCCCTGCCAATCACCCCATAGATCAGCCCTGATCACCAGCCAGGCTTAGGGACCCCACCTGTGCACAAATTTTGTGCACTGGGCCTCTAGTATATATATAAGGTTAAGCGACTGTCCAACCAGTAGCTATGACATGCCCTGACCACCAGGGGGCAGACGCTCAATGCAGAAACTGCCAAGCTGCCGTGACTTGGCAGTGGTGGTTCTCAGGTGACACACCCCAGAACCAGAGAGGAGGGAGACCAATTCTGGGGTGCATCACCCAAGAATGGCCCTCTCGCAATCCGGGACCCCTCAGGGGATGTCAGAGATCAGGATTTGACCCAATCCCTGCAGGCAAGGCCAAGGAACCCCACCTGCTATAGGGACCCCGCTCACTACACAGATGCCTTCGAGCCATGGCACCACCCCAGGTGTGGCCGGCCAGGGAGGGACCCCGGGAGGTTGGCTTCAGGGCATGTCCAGCCCGTCCTGCCCAGTCCCGCCCCGCCAGCCACCTTCTAATTAATTTCCTTTCAATGTGCACAAATCTGTACAATATAGTCACCGTGTTGTACATTAGCTCCAGAAATATACTACTTTATGTTTAAATATTTATGATCCTTTGTATTTCCTCTTTGATAAATTGCTTAATCATGACTTTTACCCATTTTATTGGAGTCGTTTTCTTTACTTGTAAGAATTCTTCGTTAAATATGCATATATGATGTTACACAGGTTGAGCGTTAACCCATAAACCAAAAGATCCTCGGTTCGATTCCCAGTCAAGGTATGTGCCCGGGTTGTGGACTCAATCCCCAGTAAGGGGCGTGCAGGAGGCAGCCGATTGATGTTTCTCTCTCATGGGTTTCCATCTCTCTACCCTTCTCCCTTCCTCTCTAAAAAAATCAATAAAAACATATTTTTTAAAAAAAGAAACGTTTGAAATGCGCATATTCCTGAGAGAGATAAGACATTAACCTAAATTTCACTTTAGCATATTAATAACTCATCTTTTCCAGAAAGTGAGCTTTAGGAGAAGGTGTACTGTGGAGGATACCAAATCAAGACCCTGAATGTCTGAGAATGGAAGCTATGACTCGAAGACCAGGGAGGAGAAAGTGGAAACCAGACTGAATGGGTGTAAACCATGTCATAGTTTTACTAAGGGTCCGTTTACCACGGTCAGAAACCTCCGGATTACTGCTTATCTGGGTCCACGAGACCCCTCCCTGGGGAATTCTAACAGTGCTTCACCGACACTTCACAGGCACCAGCAGACAAGAAACTATTTCTCCTTCAGCTAGATGTATTTTGGGGAACAGTGAGAAGATGTGTAGCTGGTACCCACCCAAAAGGGAAGAATCCTGCCCTTGGGTTCTGATCACAACGTTTTTCTACTGGAAAGAGAATGGATATTCAGCATATTTTAAGAGTAAAAGCAAATGTAGATGAATTATAGACATTTTGAAACATGAATTGAACTAGAAGTAAAAACCAAAAGCTTTCTCAAATATGTTTTAAATAAACTATTAGAGC